GAACATCTGAAGATAATGGGAAAAATCCATGCCTAAAAATCAGACTTTTGAAGCGGTGAGGTCGATCAGATGAAATATTTAGCAATGATCTCTACGCTCAGATGCATACAAGCCAAGATAGGACAAGCACAAAATTTTATACCCAAGTCCACCCAACCGGCCATCCTCCCCTCCTCCCCTCCCCCCCCGAACACGATCCCCATGCCGTCCCCCTCCTCCCCCCAGACGCTCCCTCTTATCGCAAAGATCCAGGCCACACCCATCTCGCCCTCGAAAAACTCGTCCTTGCAAGCCCCCGTCACAAGGACTTTGCCTCCATACCAGGCTCAGCCACTCCCTCAGCCACCGACTCCCCCTCCGCATCAGAGAGCGAAAGCTGGAGCGTCCCCTCCACCCGTCCTCCCAGCCAGGCCCCTAGCAGGGCTCCAAGCATGTCCGCTGGTGTCTCCGGTGGAAAACTCACCGCCCCTCCCCCAAGGTCTTCCGCTTCAAGAAGCCACCCTCCTTCCGTCTCAGAAAAGCAGGCAATACCTCCCATCCGTCCTCGTGCCCCTTCTTCTGTCCACTCTGAAGGCCAGAAATTTACCCTCAAGGATCTTATTGCTTCCGCTCCAAAACTAAGTCGCAAACCCTCTGCACGTTCCACCGGTAGCAGTCGCAAGTCCGATTCGGACGGCGGTGCAAAGTCCGTCGCAGCTGAGAGCACCGTCAGCTTGACTCAGAAATACGGAGTTTGCCAGAAAGTGGCAATCGGAAAAGGCGCTACCTCTGTCGTACGTCTCGCTCATAAGTGGGATCGAAGCGAAGAGAAGTTGTATGCCGTCAAGGTAATACATCTCTTTATCTCCCTACCCATCACTTCTCTCAACTCTTCCCTTTCTTACCTTTTCTCTCACTCTCATCCAGGAGTTTCGAAAGAGGCGAAAGAACGAGTCTGAAAAAGAATACGTCAAGAAGCTCACAGCAGAATTCTGCATTTCTTCCACTCTCCATCATGTTAATATTGTCGAGACCGTAGACCTTGTTCAGGACGAGAATCAGCATTGGTGTGAAGTCATGGAGTTTTGTCCAGGCGGTGATCTTTATGCTGCCATAAAGAAGGGAGGCATGTCCCCAAGTGAAGTCGAATGCTGTTTTAAGCAAATCATCTCCGGCGTATCCTATCTCCACAGTCAGGGCGTAGCCCATCGTGACATCAAACCAGAGAATCTCTTCTTCGATACAAAGGGCCATCTCAAGGTTTGTCCAATCTCGCACTTTGCCACACCGTGCCCTTCTTACCCCCTCCTCCCAGATCGGCGATTACGGCGCATCAACCGTCTATCGTCTCCCTTGGGAAACCACCATACACATGTCAACAGGCCTTTGCGGTAGTGAGCCGTACATTGCTCCAGAGCAGTTTCTAGGCAAACGTAAGCCCAGTATAACCCATCTCTCCATGCGGTTACCCTAATTCCGTGCCATCCGCTTCGTTCTTGCCGTCCCGCTAGCCTACGATGCACGCCTCGTCGACATCTGGGCCTGCGGCATTGTGTACTACTGCCTCCACTTCCAGGAAATGCCCTGGCGCGTCGCCCAATCGTCCGATACGCTCTATGCCGCGTACGCCTCCGCATGCTCTGCGCCACAGCCATCGCCGTCGTCATCGTCCGTCCAGAACTTCCCGCCGACGATCAACAACCTCAGCCCTCGCGGGTGCAGGAGCCTGATTCGCAAGATGCTCGAGCCCGATCCGAAGCAGCGCGCCCAGATCGAGGCGGTGATGGCCCATTCGTGGATGCAAGGCATTGAAGTGTGTCATACGGTCGCGAAGCCGTCGCATGTGCATGTGCATGCGATGGCGTTGGCGCAGGCGCAGATATAGCGGGGCCCTGTTTTGTGTTTTGCGTGGCGATGCGTAGAGGTGGGGGCGGCTGAGGTGATGATGTGGGGCGGCGTGGTGGTGGTGGTGGGGGCTCAAGCGCTCAAGTTGGCCTCGAGATGAAAGGACGGGGGGCGTGCTGCTGCCTTGCGTGTGTGTGTGTGTTACATTACTAATAGTCATGCTTTTTGTGCCGCACATGCGTTTTTTTTTTGCCCTGCTGCCTCGACGTGGGAGGAGGGGAGGTTGCGTGATGATGATGGAGTCCCGTTCCGTTCCGCCTATCGAGCCCCAGACGTCTATCCCTCGAGTGGGTCTATCCAGCTCGTCGCGTCTGTCAGACGTTCGATGTTTCTCCTCCCCGCCCCCGCCCTTTTTTTTGTTCGCCTTATCACCCTGTCATGTTTTTTCTTTCCTTCCTTCATCGTCTTCACTTACCATACTTGTCGTACTCCCTCTGTTTGGCAAAAATGAGATACTTTCATTCATACCATATATTGATATTTTATGATGCTCTGAATAGTGTGCGATATAAAGTGGGTGGTACGGTAGTGAAGCGTGGATGAGACGCGATTAAGATGGCAACGAGGGGCAGGTGAGGAACGGACGGTGATGGAATAGATCTCTAAAGCATGGATGAAAGGAAAGAGTGGAAAGAAGGGCGGTCAAGGATGGCTGTGCGCCGCCCCGACGATAGCCTTGTACAGGGATCCCGGAATACAGAAACAGAAACAGAAACAGAAACAGAAAACAAAAAAAGGACATTCGACATGACAGATGGGTATAGATCAAGACTTTTCCCAGCCAGCGACGCCGCGCCCCCAGATCATGCCCCATCGTTACCTGCAAAAACAACCCAAAGTAAGCGATCACACCCTTCCCCTCCGCTCTCCTCCCGAAAGCCGCCAAGCACACAGCGACAGACTAGAACGTACCGGATTCTTTCGTCCACTCGTCGTGGCGCCGGATATCCTTCTCGCTCACCGTCGGCCGCACGCTCTCGAGCGACTTTATAAAGTCGGCGAGGCGGAGCGGGGGCTCGACGAGCTCGTCGGACTCCACCTCGGACCACGATTTTTCGACCGCGTCGGCGTCGCCGGGCGAGCAGGGCGTCCATTTTTCTTTCGACTCGTCGTCGTCCGAGGGGAGGGGTTTGAAGTGGGTGGCGGAGATGACTTTGCGGACGGGTTGCATGAGGGCGTCGCGTACGACGATGGAGATATCAGAGCCGGAGTACCTGGGGGAGGGGGGCCGTCAGGTGAGAGAAAAGGCTGTGAGGAGGGGAGTGGCGGCTCACCCTTCGGTGCGGTCTGCTAGGACCCGATAGTCTTTTTGCGAGAGCTCGCATGGCGTTGAGCCGACGTGGATTTCGAACATGCGTCTCCTCGCATCTGGGCCTGGTAGTGGGATGTAAATACGCTTTTCGAATCTGATGAGATGTTAGAGTTGGGTTGAATGATGCATGTGTGATTGAACGATTCATACCGTCGTTTGATGGCGGGATCAAGCTGCCATGGGATATTAGTAGCCCCGAGCACCAGAACGCCCGTATCATCATGCCCCACACCGTTCATCTGCACCAAGAACTCCGTCTTGATACGCCGTGAACCTTCCGACTCTGATTCGTTACGCGTCCCCGCGAGCGAATCGACTTCGTCGATGAAGATGATCGCCGGTTTGCTTTCCCGTGCCATCGCAAACAGGTTTTTGACGAGTCTGGGATCAGGTTTAGGGAAGTGTCTCACCAGCGGGGAGACATCGCGACGTCCTACCTTTCCGAGTCACCCTGCCATTTGCTGACCAGATCACTGGAGCTGACGCTGAAGAAGGTGCTTTTTGCTTCCGTTGCTACGGCTTTGGCAAGGTACGATTTTCCCGTGCCGGGTGGTCCATAGAGCAGGATGCCTCTCCACGGCGTGCGTTTTCCGGTGAATAGATGCGGGAACTTTATGGGTAGGATGACTGCTTCTTTGAGAGAGGCTTTGGCGCCTTCGAGGCCTGCGACGTCGTCCCATTTCACGTTTGGTTTTTCGGCGAGGATGGCGCTGGAGAGGCCCGCTCGGAGCTTCTTGAGCTCTGGATCTTGGTCGTCGTCCTCACCGTTCTTGCTGTTGAAGGACGCCGTCATGAGATCACGGTGATCACACCCACCCAAAAGGGGGATATCCGACACGAGAGAGGGAGAGAGCGTACCTCTTTCCGCCGCCCCCAGGGCCACCGCTGACGGTGCCATCCGCTCCTACAGCCTTGCGCGCCCGCTTCTCGTTCTCTGCTGAGAGATGGTTGCTCAGCGTCTCTGCGCGCTGGAGGTATTCGTTGATCTTGGTGCGGATGAGGACTTTTGACTTGTCGTTTTTCTCGTCTGTGGAAGGAGGCGTGAGTGGCACTGGGGGGCGTGGAGAGGAAAAGTGAGGGGCAAAACTGACATTTGAGAGAGAGCATGAAGTAGTCGAGGGCATTCTGGTACTGCTTGGAAGCCTCGGCGTAGTTCTGCTTGACGTCTTCCTCGATGGCACGTTGGACGAGCTCGATGGCTTTCTGTGAGGGTGTCAGTGGGTGGGCTGGACGTGCGGGATGGAGTGGCTTACATCGAGTGTGGTGGAGGAGTTGGCCATGGATGGGAGGCTTGGTGTGGTGGAGAGATTAGGGCGTTCAGGTTGTTGGTCTTGGGTACAGTGCTTTATGACATAAGCAGAGTCCGAATCTGGATACTCTCCTTTGGCTGATGATTAGAAGGGGAATTTATATATTTCATTCCATTGAGCGTCAACGCGTTACACATGTGAGAGTCTACAACTTTAAATGAACTGGGATGTCATCAGGTAAGTACCTTGATGTCGTATCACCCTCAACTTGCTCCCATGCGCTCACACTTGGAGGATTCCATCGACTTTATGATTAGTGACTTCACAATGGCTTGTGGAGATATCACAACGGCAGCATAATACGAGAACCGATGCTTACCTTCCAGTACCAATGACATACAGATTGGCAGATTGTTATCAGGCGCCAAATGACTCGGAAAGTCGCTTTCAAAAGGCTCTGATACGGCTCGATCCTTGCTTCAGTGGCTCTGCAGAGGGTGCATAGCCTGAGAAGGGAGGCTAAGCACAGGAGTAACACTAATGTGACATCTCACGGTGCAACTTGAAGCTTGTGCGGGACCGTGATCTGATCATGATGAATGTTTGGTAATTTTTGGTATATAGAATGTCTTACAGCTACGGACGCAGGTACTGATTTCATTCCACATGGACTTGGGTTATACTGGGATGAATCGATAAATAGAGCGACATGTCGGTGTGAATGGTTGGGAATGAACTTACAATGAATGAAGACTGTTACGGCCAGAACAAACAAAAGGAAATGAACACTCTTCAAGGAACAACAATATGGTCCGTCAGAGAGGGGTCAAGTACCAGTAAGGCAAAAGAGTAAAGAGACAACGTCCACTGCACTGTGCGGTGACCCCAATTTCGATAGTCGTGCTCGCTGCACCATATCCACATGGCAGGCATGAATGCTGCAACTCACTCTGAGCGTATCTTCATAATCTCAACACGAGGTCCATCAACACTAATAAGAATCACTACTGGGGTCGATTGGTCAACATGTTGTCCGAACATCACTTGCTGGCTTGATAATACTCCGGCATGTCGCATTTTCCGTCCACACAAGATTGCGTGTTGTACAGGGATCCTCGGATCTTTGGATTATTCGACTGAATACAACGGTGCAAAACAAATCATAGGAAGTTCCAGAAATATCCAGGACCAGTGACCACTTATTATTGTCTTAATCAGAGCGAGTGCCAAAGCGCCGTTGTGGATTTTCCCGTTTATGGGATCATCAGGCAGATCACATCATTGTCTTGCAGGGTGTTTGACCACATCTCTGTGGCAGGACTATGCCACACCGGATACCCTCTATATAAAGACAAAGGAAGGTTGCCTCGACATGCCCATCAAATCCCAACCCATCAAGCTCTTGTCTCCCTTCACTACCACTTACTCCCTTATTACGAGTACACTGCTCAGCGCTCCTCTCTCATACCCGGCTTCCCCGTGATGTCTCAGCGAGCGTCAAGAAAATCAAGTATCATGGGGGCAACACAACCCGTCAACAAGCTCCACCCAGTTGATCTTACCACTTATGACGATGGCACAGACAGTGATTCGTCCTATGTGGAGTCTCAGCCAGAAGACCTCGACGACTCATGGCCATACCGATTCAAGGCATGTGATCATGTCTTGGTGCCGCCACCCCCCGTCGCTAACGTGAGTCCCAACAGCTTAGCGATTCGGTGTGGATACGTACATCGGGGGGCAACTGGCAATCCGGTCGAGTCTCAGGGCAACCGAAATTAGGACAAACAAGAGAGGCAAGTGCCTTTGTATCGTGTCGTGAGCATGTTGATTGACATGATCTTATTAATAGAAAGATGGCCTTTTCTATCCCGTCATATTCTGTACCAAGCTCCGCAAGTATTTTGCTCCTCTTAATGGAGAGATCAAACCTGATACTCCACACATACGGAAGCTTTTGGAGGAGGGAGGTTGGCTATAATATTGCATACTCAGGTCCGGCACCTGTCGTTTATTCTTCGAATCGCATCTTCAGCATTTTACTTATTCATACAAGTAGCTACTTGTGCTGTACTCATAATCACTATATCATTATAACAGAAATGTACTTCCTAAGTACGAGAACATCTCATCTTGTATAATGTTACAAGTAGTGTTAAAGCCGGGATGCATCCTGTGTGCCGTAACCCGAACTTGTTTGACGCGCGCCACAATTGAACGGCTTAGTACACTGGCACCTACTTGAGGCCTTGAGGACGCTTGCAGTTCCTCTTATCCTTAGATCTTTCCAATTTTATAATCGCGGCCAACATGACGAAAACATATCTCATGAACAGTCTCATAGAGAAGGTTTGTTCAAAGATGTTGCATGATTCGATTGTGTTCACCGTATGAGAGAATTTAGATGCAGTCCCCAGACCAGGATTTCCGGTGCGTTTTATACAACAGGCATCGCGTTTTCCTCGTATTTTATTGATAAAAAATACACCATTTTTTAGGTTTATGGGACTGAATGACTTGATGAACGAAATCAAACAGGATCCCAATACCTTTGTGGGTGATGAACCCACCGAGAACAAGGTCCTCAAGCAAGTCCTTCAACTCGTGGAAGACAAGATCTCTGAGGTTAAGAACCAGGCGGTCAAATGGTGAGCCTGCGGTTGGTATTACCAAAAGATACGCTCCTGATGCATCGAAATCACGCCACGCTTTCAAGTCTTGGACAGTTGATCAAGATCATTCGCGAAAGCCAGATGGACCTTGTTATAGACAGTCTGATCAACTTCTCAGTTGGGAAAGATGATGAGCTCAGGGATATCTCGGCATTAGGTGTGATAGGACTCTTGCGTTGTAGAAATTACGTTGACCAAGTGTCACCCCTCAGCGCTAAAGACAATCACCTCAGAGTTACCTCCCGACGGTAAGATCGCTTCCAAAGCATGCGCAAAACTTGCACCGAGATTACTTGCGCAAGTGTCAAGCGTAAGTGCTGTCCAAACGTGAATCCTGAACACGATTAAAATTTGATTTGCAGCCTGATACACCGCCCGAAGCTCTGATAGAGACTTTGTCCATTCTGTCCATTCTCATTGGTCGCTTCCCTGTTCATGTCTCTGGTCCTTCCCTCGAACCCCAGCCGCTGACTGCTCTCGCTCCGCTATTGTCGCATCCTCGTCCAGCTGTCCGCAAACGCGCCATCCTTACTATGTCTCAATTCGTCCCTGTGGCTCAACCAGAGCTGTTCAATAACCTATTACAAACACATGTGATGCCGTTCCTGCCTGCTTCAGCCAATATCGAGAAGCAACGGACTACTATTCAACTTATTGCGGCTATCGTCCGGCAATCACCACAACAACTTGCTCCTGTCCTGAATGACATTGTACCTGGCATCGTCAAGGCTGTGCAGCGTGATGATGATGAGCTAAGGGAAGGGTGTATTCAGGTCATATTCCTTGTTTCTCGTGATAGAAACTATATTCATTTGACTGGCTGACTGACAGGCACTGGAAGCACTGCTTTTGAGAACGCCAGCGGAAATCACGCCATTCCTCAACTCGATAGTGCAAATTGGCAACCAATTTATCAAGTATGATCCGGTACGCTGTCTGTGGTGTTAACAGGAAGTAGGAAATCTCATTGTAGAATCAGAATTACGCCGGTGGTGATCCAGACGAGGATGAAGAGATGGCTGATGCAGATGATGACGATGACGATGATGGAGAACTTGATGAGTGAGTGCAACGGATGTACCGCTTTATGCACAAAAGCTAATTGCGAACAAGGTATTCCGACGATGAGGACACTTCTTACAAAATCCGCCGTTGTGCGACAAAACTGCTTGGAGCCCTCATAGTCACGCGACCCGAATTACTCATCTCACTCTACAAGGAGGTTTCCCCCGTGTTGATTTCAAGGTTCGGTGACCGCGAGGAAACTGTCCGTTTAGAAGTCTGGGCTACTTACATCGTCCTTCTCAATCAAACGAGTGTATACGGTGGCCTTCCACAGGTCAAGGATAGCGATGCCATTCGCGGAAAAAGAAAACGCGATAGTGAGGAGAGGATGGATGTAGAAGAAACACCATATACGCTCCTCCGTTCTCAAGTACCTTCTCTATCCAAAGCACTTCTTAACCAACTCAAATCTCCCAGGACAGCGCCTGCAACGCTCCAAGCAGGATTTGAGCTGCTCCGCGTTTTGTTGGGTGTTTTACCGGGATGTCTCTCAGCTCAAATGACGCCTATCACCGCTTCATCAAAGAGCGTTTTATCACAGTCGCCATCAACGTCTACGTCAGCTTTGCACTTGACTTGTCTTTCTTTCCTCGCACTGCTTTTTTCCACCCACTCTCAGCCTACATTTTCAGCATTTCTTCCGACACTGACCCCAGTTCTCTTGAAGTCTCTGAGCGAGAGGCACCCACGGGTTGCTTCCGAGTCTTTCCGCGTTTTTTCGTCCTTGCTCAATGCCATGAGACCGGTGAAAAACGACGACTGGGTTGACCGCGTCTACGATGAAGCTTTGCTGAGGTTGAGTAATCACGATACGGATGCAGAAGTTCGATCTTGTGCAGAAGACTGCATAGCAGACTTGTGGATTTGTGCAACGGATACGGTGAAAGGTAAAGGCAGGAAAGAGTGGCAAGCTATTTGCCGCACGTCGGGCACTACAAATGGGGCTGTCAAGGTCGTGATCAAAGTTGCTAATGATGTAGTCATCGACGACGAATGGGTCAATGGTTGTGTGGAATGGCTGATGGTATTAATGAGAAAGAGTGGAAGGAGCGGGAAAGCAGACGTTTTTGTGGCTCTGGATGTTCTTCTGAAAAGGTAGGAAGCATTGTTATATCTTTGGTGCAGCTCTCAACTAGCTGGCAGGTATAAATCTGGCGTGCCTTCTGATCTCCCACCGACGCTTGTACCTCAGATCAAGGTTTATGTCTCCACCGCTGACATACCCCTTCTATCCCAAGCCATGTCTATTCTTGCCCTCATCTTGGAGCTATCGCCTTCAGTAACGTTTCCAGAAGTAGAGCGCGAGGTTCTCGGAGACATCTACAGAATTGCTCACTCGCCCCTGGTTTCTGGCACTGCTCTGGATTCGATTCTTTCTTTCTTCTCTGCTCTAGTTCAAGCTGATAGACAAATTGCGACCCATGTGGTACCCAGCCTCGTGACGTCTGTAGAAAAAGCCCCTAAAGCTGAAACGAACCCTACGAATGTGGCAAAATGTATTGCTCAAGTTGTCAGGAGTCAGCAGGCAGTCGCAGCGGGAACTATCGCAGAATACTCGAAACATATCAAGGTTGGTTGATATCGTATCGTATTCTTTTATTGCGGCATCTCATTCTTTCATAAAGCCTACGTCCAAGGCCAAGCCTTCTACTGTCGTTCTAAGTCTGCTGATCGTTGGGGAGTTGGGTCGGTTCATGTAGGTCCCCTTTCGGTTTTTTGGTATACTCAAGATAAGATTTTTGATCCGTGACAGTGATATGTCCCCTCAGAAAGATATATTCAGTAACACCATCGAGCATTTTGCTGCAGAGCAGGAAGATATCCGGACAGCAGCTGCATTTGCCGCAGGTACGCATTTACTGGTGTTTATGTCTGATGACGTCTTAAAAGGCTCTTTCAATAGGCAACATAGCTTTAGGAAACCTTCAACAATTTCTTCCAGCAATCGTTAAAGCTGTTGAAAACGACCCAAAGAAGAGACTATTATCACTGCAAGCCCTGAAAGAGGTTTCGAAATTTTACCATGTACTCTTACTTTACTGATGACGTGTACATTTTAGGTGGTCACACATTGTTCACATGGACAGCTAGAAGGTGTAGCAGACATGCTATGGGCTCCGCTGTTCCACAATTCTGAGGATGCTGAGGAGAGTACTCGGAATGTTGCTGCTGCGTGCTTGGGCAAACTGACAACGACTCACCCATCTCGATATTTACCACAACTTCATGTAAGTCTTCTCTCCCGAAGATGTGTTGCTCGTATTCAGCCGTAAACTCTCTCAGGCTCGCATCCACGATGAAAACATTGCGGCTCGTGCAACTGTTGTATCAGCGATTCGATATACATTAGCTGAATCCGCCACTTCTTACGATGAACTTCTTGCTCCCCTCATCATGGATTTCTTGTCGTTGATGATTGACAAGGACTTGGTAAATAATATTCATCCCTTCATTTTCTTTGATCGCTGATGACGCGTCCATAGACGGTCCGACGGTTGACTTTGTCATTACTAAACTCAGCAGCACGCACGAAACCTCATCTTATCAGAGAACACCTTGCATCCCTTCTTCCAAGTTTATACAAGGAGACTATCATCAACCCAGACTTGATTCGCACTGTTCAAATGGGTCCTTGGACGCACAAAGTCGACGATGGTCTTGAAGCACGAAAAACTGCTTACGAGACGATGTACACATTGGTCTGTTCATTGCTGTTATTATTTATCATCCTTCCTTGGACTGAATCTTATCTGTCACCAGCTTGATACGTGCCTTTCTAAACTTGACTTGCACGAATTCCTTAGTCGGGTCCTCCCTGGGCTGTCGGACGACTCGGACGAAATCAAAGTGATTTGCCACATGATGCTCTTCCGTCTTTCTCAAGTTGCTCCCACGTCTGTCTCTCAACGGTTAGATGACGCGACGCCACAGATGGAGAAGACGATGAAGGGTGCGACGGTGACGAAGGACACAGTGAAACAAGATCTGGAGCGTGCGGCGGAACTTCAACGGAGCACGTTGCGTGCGGTCGCTGCTCTCAGTAAAATCAGCAATGCAAGCGTATCGCCCAAATTTGATGCTTTCGTGGAGGACCTGAAGAAGTCGAATACATGGGGTAATGAGTTCAAAGACCTGGTAGGCGCTTAAGTATGAAAGGGAGGCCAATGTCGCGATAATGGTGCGAAAAGTGTATTGTAATGTTCAACTACGTGTACCATGCATCCTTTCTCAAGTGATAATCACGTTGTATCCATGTTTTGCAAATGACGTGTATGGTGTAGGTGTACAAGCAACCGAAGACAAGGTATTCTAGTTCTACCCGAATATATGCCTAACCCCTATGTAAATAGTTAAGATGCAAGCGAATTAGCGGTCCATTCTCCGCTACCCCCTTAAACTAACCGAAAAGTCTCTTGCGGATCTCTGCGCCTGCTCTTCTCCGCTCATCAGCGGCGCCTCCATCACCCAGTACAGACTTGTTCTCGATAGCTCTGCGGCTTAAATATGGCATGACCTATGAGATGCTATCAGTAAAATCAAGTCGCCAATTTTACGAAACCTTCACCTCGACTAAAGCGCCGTATGGCACATATCTGGAATATGCAGTAAAACGTGTCAATACCTCCTCTCAAAGATGCCGTAAAGTCCTCACTTAATAACGAAAGGCGCCGAGGACCGCGTCTTATCTACCAAGTAATTCGTCAAAGCATCGCTCATTCCTGTCAGCATCATGATGACACGTCATGAGATTCAAGGTAGGCCAATCAGAAAATGATCAGGAACTCACCATACAGCTGCCCTAATGTGACTCGCTCCGTTACGTTGGTGCCGATCCTGACGATTTCATCCGATTCCCCATTTCGTTTCTCTTTCTCGGCCAAACCCCGACTCACAAGCGCTTCCAGAATACGGTTACAACTATCCCAGTTATGCGTCCCGAAAAGCACGCCAAGAGCAGGTGAACTCGGCGTTTTCCCTCGAGACTGGCTCGTCATGTCATCCTTGATGCGGTCGATCAGCAACTCTGCACATGAATTGTAGCAATTGTCCGTTTCGGCTTTAGTGGACCAGACAGGTGGGTGTGGGTCAGGAGAGATGGAGAGGGACTTTGCGGAGGCGGCTTTGGAGGCGTGAGCGTGGGTTTCGTGGGGGTGGTATGCTCCGCGCACGAGCTTTACGCCGAGAGAGTAGTTGCCTGCCTTGGCTCTTCGTAGACTCTCTTTGAGATGTTCGGGTGTACTGTTACAGCACAGAGTTTGGATACCATCTTATGGAGTTTGGGCAGTGCAGACGTACCGACGAAGATATGCCTGGTATGTGTTGTAAATTAAAGGCTGTATGGAATCGGATTTAGAACTATCTTGCGCTAGCTTATTGAACTGCTCCATAAGCGCTTGAGTGATTGCGTCTATAGCGGGCTATAGAAAGCGTTAACAACAAATGACACTTGGAAAGTACAAGACACACTTGATACCAACTAAGACATATAATCGATCGATCGTACTCTCATGTTTATATTAGATACAAGGACATACCTGTGTTCTGCATCGATGATGATCTTGACCCCTCGCTCTTGTGCACGCGTACAAATCTTTACCAGGTCGCTGTGCAGGTCTCTCAGTTCGATAACGTTCTCTTGGGTGACGGGCGAACCGGCCGGGATAGAGCTCTGACGTAAAATATCCATATCCGAGGACAAGGTCGTACCAGGAAACGCAACGGGCGGAGATGTAGCGGGGCGCATGTTGACGATATGCGAAGACATGTTAATTAGGGCTTGGGCATCTGGCAACAAAGCTGTCTAAAACGAGTCATCGGTGAGCCGAGCATAGTATGACGCCAAAGCTAAGAAGTACTAGATACATACGAGCTTGACAGCAACCCAAGTACGCCTATCTGCTCCTGAACCTTGGGTGAACTTGTCTTCGAATTCTGCGGCGACTTCGATGCTTCGGATCATCTCCTGTACAATGCGCTTGTGCACGGGCTGATGGTTCTTGGAGCGGTGTTGTGATTTCCCTGCGGCCTCTTTCTCATCAACCTCTACGCTGTAAGCGAATAAGGTACCCTTGTTCTCTGCGCGGAGCTGCTCAACGAGAGGGACTGCCTGGTGGGCGGTGTCGCCTCCGACGAACTACAACGTCGATGAGCAAGTTGATTCAACTATAAGAAGAGTACTGGGGCGTACTTGCGAGAAGAAGGTAGCACGGACGATAGCCTCTGTGATGAGATTGATACCAGGGATAGACATCAGGGTGCTAAGGATGGTAGGTGACCAGTCGACCAACATGGGGATTGAACACATGGAGTAGACAGCATAGCTTCTGAGAAGTGAAGTTAGAGGGGTAGGCTGCCTTTGAGCATCTGAATCTGGGTCTGAGGGTGGTGCTTCTGCGTATACCTGACCTCCCAGGAGGAGCGATGCCCCCAGAACGGCTCCAGACGCCAGACCTAGTCGGGTAACGCGACGAGATAGGACATATCGCGGTGTTGCATGTGTCCTGAAAGCTCTTACGGACACTGGTGTCTGGATACGAGATAAGGAAGAGAGACGAGAGAGAGAGCGGGACATGGCCTCAGATATGAAGGAACAGGTTGAACTTATGAAGGCTTTAAGGCGCACGCTGGCTACGAGAGCCGTGAATTAGCTGAGTATTTACGCATCAGTGAAACTCATGACCAGGACAACATAAGCCAAACTGCGATACTGTAATAAGCTCCGTCCCGACTGCCGGCTAACTGCTGATTGCCTTTATAGGAAATCTAGCAGGTGTACCTCTTTTTCAAGCGATTCGGGTCCGTCCTTATCTTCAAAAAATGTCAAAAAGAAAGCAAGCCGCGAGCGTGGACGACGACGATAGCGACGTCGTATGTTTTTCTTGTCTTTCTCCCAGTCTTTGCTTACCAGCAACTCAGTAGAGTCTCGTTGATGTCGACTTTGAGTTTTTCGACCCCAATCCCAAGCTTGATTATCATGCTCTCAAAAGGCTGCTCGGTCAACTGCTGCAGGCTGATGCAGATCTGTTCCATCTACATGATTTAACAGAACTCGTCCTCTCCCAGCCACTACTCGGTACAACCGTCAAAACAGATGGAATCGAGAGCGATCCCTACGCTTTCCTGACGATCCTCAATATGCACACACACCAAGTTTGTCTTTATTCTCTTTTCTCAACAAGACATCGATGAGTCTTATCTATTATCCAGAATCACCCTTCCATCAAGGCCCTTATTGAATATGCGATGCTCAAGTCATCGCCCACTCCCCCACTTCAAGCAGCTCTTCTTAGTTTACTTGGTCCTGATGCCCTAAACTCACCGAACCACGTTGGTCTTGTGCTATCTGAGCGCCTGATCAATATGCCTGTACAAGTCGCTCCCCCGATGTATCGTATGCTTGTTGATGAAATGAAGTGGGCCGTTGAGGACGTAGGTTTACATCACACATTTTGACGCTTTCCATGGCTCATCATTGGAGTATAGAACGAACCGTTCAACTTTTCACATTTCCTGTTCATCACACGGATCTATAAACTTTCTCCTGAAGAAGAGGAGGCAATGCAAACAGCAAGCCATACCTCCAAACGGCAAAAACCGATCACAACCGCGTCCGCCCCATCCAATGGAGTGTATTCGTTCCATCCAGAAGACGAGTATATACAAATGGTGCGTTCTTGGCTGATACCCGAACTCTCATCTTTCTCTTACTAACCCCGTATCAATCGCTGCTGCTCTTAATTAAATCCAGATGGCTTCCCACAGTGTGGACTATGCTTTCACAAACTCACAGCCGAGGGAGAAAGAATCGTTTGGTTTAGATACTGGCGGTCGGATGATGCTCGTACCCGCTAGTCGTCTACAGGAATTGGTGGATACTTTGGCCAATGTTTACAAAGTGCCTGGCTGATTTTTTCATCTCTGCATGTTCTATAATGTGCGCACAATCAAATCAATGATGTGGATCCAAAATCAAATGATGCGGTGAATGATGATGTCCAAAAGCTTGCGAGCACGCTGATAGCTATTATTATAATACCTGTGCCGGTCTCAGATCATAGTACCAGACTCGAACTACGTCAACTTCCTTTTTCATCCAAGGTCTAAAGGAGATCAAGTTCAGAGTCCAAGTTGGGTTCAAAAGTTATCTATGATACATATACATCGAGTGACAATCCAGGGGGAAGGCAATGACTACGAGACAGACCGTATACTGGAAGATGATCAAACGAAATCGAGAATGGCAGATAAGACTACACATACGGGCAATTGAATGGGGAAACATCATGATGAGTGTGTATGTGTGTGAATTGTGAAAGATCATCGTTCATCAACCAACGAATACGGAGGTATGATTAACCAGCTATAGGCCGCCGAGACGTTGAGAATAAATAGATGAAAGGGATGGGACACTTGCCCCAATGATAGGTAACGGTTTGATGGAATAACAAAGATGCTGCGTATGCATTGTAAATCTCACCAATATATTCGTCGTGGACGAGGGACGTACTAGAGTTTACTTTGAGGGCCGAGGGCTGTAGTTACTTGACGTTGGACAATTGCTTTGTCCACAGTCTACTTTGATGCTGGTCGATGTACCGTAGCTGGTTGAGAAGAGCTTCTGACTGCAATAGGAGACAGGGGGATTGTCCCAGTGTATTGGTGAGTGTTCAGAGGAGTGCGTCCCGAGGGGAAAGGCGGGGAGGTACATTATATACAAGTAAAGTAGTGATTACAGTGACGGGGGATCCTTAGAGAAGCAGACATCAACAGACAGGCGTTTATATAGTCTGCTGAAACAAGCGGGCTTGATTTGAACAATCCTGCATACTACACGTACCAACTAATCTGCCAAGGCTATATCTTGACGAAATCTGGTGATTCATAAGGTCCGAACAATACCATTGAGTTTCGAACAAGGGGAGGCTGCACGCCTTGGGGCCGGCATCCACGAGAGACGGTTCGGGCAAACCTGTGGATTTATATATAAATAAATGGAGATCAAGTTACCACTATCATTTTTGTTTGACGTCCATAACCATTGTCAGAAAGGGTAATATCAGTGGCACTGAGGCTGGGAGAATTGGCGTGTGTACATTGAACGGAAACGTAAATTAGAGGGAGCCAAGGTGCAAAAGGAGGTGCAGGTGTGTGGCAACAAGCTGAGTGAAGACCGAGGTTTGGACTGATGTCCGGCTGGGTTGGCAACGGGTGAAGGAGTGACTCTTGCCGATAAAACTGTGGGACGGAGGCTTACAAATGGATGTGCAAAGTTGAAAAGGTGAAACAGCCGAGGAGTTCTGCTGTGCAGTGCATGCATGCGACGTGCAATTTGCATGAAGGCAAAGTATGGCGAAAAGTGATGTCCCCGGGCCTGGAGGAAGCATCGATAGTGGAATATTGACCCGTTGTCAAATGTCAAAGCTCACGAGGTCTGTCAGGCTCAATGAATGTGGATTGATGCAAGCTAATGCTGTGTGCTGATTGTCTTAACTGTTGACAGAGGGACACAGCTGCGAAAGGTCATAGATGGTTGCAGTCAATATACTTGAGAGTGGTCGGTAACTCTTTCAACACCGCGGCCGGGTAGTCCAACCCTAATCTAGGATCCAAACACAACGCCAAACAGTAAATTGGAATGAGCGTGACGCAGGCAGAGGGTATCGTGCTCAGTAACGCTAGGGAATATCCTGCAGCTCTAAATCCTGCCTTCCTCGCTCAAGCCCCCACCGCTGGACACGATGGCCACCATCGTCCCCGTCGTTGAGGAGGGCAAGCTCATCAGCGAAGCCCTTAATACCGTCAAGATACAGGTCCAGCAAATGAAGAGACACTTGGTGAGCTACACCGCAGCACTGCAGATACCCCCGTGCACTCTCTAATGCTGGCTCCCGTCCCGTGTCATCAGGACAGCGACGACATTATGGACGCATTGAAGAGCGCAAGTCTCATGCTTGCAGAATTGCGCACCTCTTCGTTGTCACCCAAACAGTATTATGAACTCTGTACGCCCTTCTTTCTCTCTCCGAGTTTCAATCTCTTGAGTTTCACTTGGGCGCGTAGATATGGCAGTTTTTGATGCTCTTCGTCATCTTTCCAATTACCTCTATGATGCTCACACACAATCCCGACATCACCTCGCAGACCTGTACGAACTGGTCCAGTACGCCGGAAACATCATACCCCGTCTCTATCTCATGATCACCGTCGGTTCCGTCTACATGTCTATTCCGGAGGCACCCGTCAAGGAAATAATGAAGGATATGATGGAAATGTCGCGTGGAATTCTTCATCCCATTCGTGGTCTCTTTTTGAGGCACTACCTTAGCGGGCAGACAAGAGACCATCTTCCCATCGGTACAGACAACGGGTATATATACACATTGCTGTGCACATATCTCAGTCATACAGCTGATTTTGCATCACAGACCTGCCGGCAACCTCCAGGACTCTATCAATTTTGTTCTCACCAACTTTGTTGAGATGAACAAACTTTGGGTTCGTCTTCAACATCAAGGTCACTCACGCGACCGCGAAAAGCGGGAATTGGAGAGGAAGGAGCTGCGTATCCTCGTCGGGACAAACCTCGTCCGCCTTAGCCAGCTGGATGGAGTAGACCTAGATATGTACCAGCAGTTGATCCTTCCCAGCATTCTGGAACAAGTTGTCAATTGTAAGGACGTGATAGCACAGGAGTATCTTATGGAAGTCGTTATTCAGGTGCGGTGCTGTTTAACACCGTCGTGTGATTTTACTAAATGTCGCAACCGTCACAGGTCTTTACGGACGAATTTCACCTCCACACACTCGGCCCATTCCTTTCCGCCACGGCTCAATTACACTCCAAAGTTAATATCAAACAGATCGTCATTGCGCTTATAGATCGACTTGCTGCCTATGCAGCTCGCGAAGCCGAGAACGAAGATCCCGATGAAACAAAGCAACAGGAGGAGGCCGCGGCTAAGCGGCTTGCTGAGAAAGTCAAGACACAAAAGCTGCGTGCGCGGGAAAGTGGTAACGCAGTAGTCGCTGATGTTACCCATGACGGGGATGCATGGGGCGCACCACACAGCCCAGTAGTTGCTACGGAGAAACAAATGTCCGCACTAAGCATGAACGGGACAAATGGGACGTCAGAGGATATGACAGAGAAGGGGAAAGAGAAGGAAGCTTTGCCTGTAAAGAAATTCCGAGGTGTCCCAGAAAATGTACAACTATTTGAGGTGTTCTGGACTCAGGTAGTCGAGCTAATCAAGGTAAAAAATTTCTTGTGCCTCCGCGTGTAACGTAATAGTCTGCTAATGCTTATTTGAAAGGCCCGACCTGACCTCTCAATACAAGATATCACAGCGCTGTTGGTGTCACTTACCAACTTATCTCTGAGCTGTTATCCAGATAGACTTGAATATGTGGATCAAGTGCTCAACTTCGCGCACGATAAAATTAAAGAGTTCGGAGAAAGGTCCGTAGTTCATTTTTGTATATTAAGTCGCATGTGTAATCTCAGCTGGTGTATAGTCCGGACCTCCACGCCCCACAAACAACAAGTAATCTCGCCGCTTTACTCGTTGCGCCCATCAACTCTTACCAGTCTGTCCTTACCCTACTTGCCATACCAAGATATGTGCCTCTCCTTACGCAACAACTTTTCTCGACTCGCCGCTCGATAGCACATTCTATTATCTCTTCGGTTCTCAAAAATGAGACCATTATCGAAGCACCCGAAGACGTCAACGGGGTACTGGAGCTATGTCATGTTCTTATTAAAGACCAGTCAGATTCAGCTGCTGGCTCCGCAGCGGCAAGTTTAAGCGGAGGCGCGAAGGAGACGCGCAGACAGGGACCCTATCATCTGGAAAGGGAGGATCTGGCGGAGGAACAGGGGTGGGTTGCACGTATGGTGCATCTATTCAGAGCAGAGTCGCTAGATGTTCAGTTTGAGGTACGAGTCATTCACGTTAGTTTTCAGTATTTTGGGTGACATTTCCTCTCGCAGCTACTTCAAATGGCCCGCAAACATTTCGAAGCAGGAGGTGAACGAATGCGGTATACATTCCCCGCCCTCATTACATCAAGTATCAAGCTGTGTAGGCGTTATAAGCAACGTGAACATTTAGTAGGTGTTTTTACTATCGTACCGGGTTCGTGTATCTTGAATCTGCATATCACAGGAAGACGACTGGGAGACGAAAGTATCAGCAATTATCAAATTTGTCCGGCAATTAATTTCTATACTCTCTACCCAAGTTGAAGCCCCTTCCATTGCGCTTCGCCTCTTCCTCCTTGCAGCTCAGATCTCAGACGAGTGTGGGTTTGAAGATCTCACTTACGATCTGTATGTGCAAGCCTTCACGGTATATGAAGACAGCATCTCGGAGAGCCGTGCCCAACTACAAGCTATAACTCTCATCATTGGCACGCTTCAGGGTGCGCGGGTATTTGGGGTGGATAACTATGACACCTTGATTACCAAAGCCGCATTACATGGCGCGAAATTGCTCAAGAAACCTCACCAGGCTACTGCTGTTCATTTGGCAAGTCATCTTTGGTGGCAGGAAGCAATAATCGAGGAGGATAGCCCGAAAGAAGCGGAGAAACCGATGTCGAAGGAGGAAGGTGATAGTGCCAAGGCTGTGAGTTAATCATACATGGCTTCATTCGAGGACATCATGCTCATCACTTCCATGTCACTAGTATCCCCATCAAGATAGCAAACGCGTGCTCGAGTGTTTGCAGAAGTCGCTACGAATTGCGAACTCCGCTATCGAAGAGATTGTAACAATCCAGCTGTACTGTGACACACTCGATCAATATCTGTATTACCTTGATCGTGGAGCTCCTGCTGTACGTGCATTTTTTGTGTCACATGGTTTGGCACGCTCACTCATTCTCTCTTTCAGGTGGCTCCTAAATTTGTTAACAGCCTTGTCGAACTAATAACCTCCAGTATCGATAACATCTCCTCGCCGGATGTCCATCCGTCTCAGCGTGCACCTCCAGGGTTGATCGAGGGCGTGCAGACACCTGAGATGATAACGCGACACTTCCGGAATACGCTATACTATATCCAGACCAAGAAGAATTCGAACGAAGCTCGATGGGACAACGTTGATGTTGTAGGTGCACTCCTCAAGATGGGTATCGGGCGGTGATGATGGTCGTGTAGCAGTTTTTACGTACAGATTGATTCACTAACTGGTGTATTGTTCGCCCCACTTATGTATTCTCGCTCCGTACGTGTCTGGCATGCATAGTAATTCTTGTATATAATACCCTCACTTATTCATTTGGTGGGATTATCTGTTTAAGACCCTTTGGTGACTTTAACGGACATGATTTTACCAACACGGTACCTACCTGAAACTTCAGAGTTTCAGACACATTCACTGAAGTAAAAGTAAACTAAATCTAGAGTTATCATTGACTATCTGATACTAACACATAACGATAACCCCCCGTCGGGATGAACTACATGATATTAGACAAAACACATCCCACAAATTAAAGGTCGATGAGCAGCTCTTCCCTTCTCTCTGGAGACGCTATACCAGAGGGCGGAGAAAGAGCATATATATCGAAGGACTGGGGGGCATTTGTAGGAGCGACAGGAAATTGGGGCAGGGGAGCGGGGGGAGGCTGTTCTCGGCGTGGCTGGTACCTGGGAGCATGCGAGACTGTACTAGAGCGCGCCAGGAAAGCATTTGCAGAAGGAGGAGGTGATGACACAGTCGTGACAGAATGTGCTACGGTATTGTGCCGTGAAAGAGCATGCATGGGATAGGGAGTTGGCTCTGCGGAAACGGGCACTGGGGTTTGACGCACTGGGGCTGATGGCTGAGGCGCCAAACCGACTGTCGCCGAGACTGGCTGCGGCGATTGCGCTGGAAGTTGAGGAGGGGCGGGAGCTGACAAGACGTGATAAGGAACAGAAGATTGCGATCCAGTGTACTGCGGCGTTTGTGATGGTTGATTCGGTATTGGAGATGTGGGCTTCTGGGGAACTTGTTGATTATACTGCGAAGATCCACTATGCTGTGGTTGATGGCTCCAGTTTTGCTGTGACGAGCTGGCGGCAAAGGTGGAAGCATGGTTTCGGCTAGGTTGAGAGTATTGCGGCTGATAATCAGAACGGTTCGGAGGAACGGGAGAGTAGACAGGCTGGATCTGATTCTGTGATGCATAACCACGAGTAGCATCAGCATCTGGCCGTACGTATGCCGGGGACATCGGCGGAGGTGCTTGAGTATGTACCCATTGAGAAAACGACGCGTTAGGAGTTGTCTGATAACCATTTACTGGCTGCAAAGCACCCGGAGAAGTAGCCTGAGGGGAGCGAGTCCAGGTTGGGCGTGAGACCTGTTCACTGAGAAGGTTATCATAAAGTTTGACCGCCTGAGAAAGCTTGTCGTGCATTTCAGAGAGCAATTCTATATCACATGTCAGATAAACCTTACAGGCTAAATATGCATGCTTTCGAATAGCTTACGTTCTTTCCTTCCGGTATCATCCATACTCATGGCCAGTTTAGGTCTGAGGCTGTTTGCCTTGTCGTACAACTCATTTACTGCTGGGTACCTTGATATATCCCGTCCTCCTTGGGCATGGACTTGTTCTACAGTTTGACTGAACGTAAGGATTGCATCTGATTCGAGAGGTTCTAAGTCATAGTTGGGCAATTTGGGGGCGGATGGCGTGGGGGTTACTGTTGGCGGGTAAGATTGAGAATACCCTACATTTCCATAAGAGGGCTGAGCTGGTTCAGGTGGTGGCTGAACTATGATAGGAGCGCTGGGCTTTGGCGCGTTTGCTTCGCGAAGACTGGCTTCTATTGCAGCCCTCAGATCCGGGTCATCTTCATCTACCTCGGAAGAGTCATGGCCTGGACGAGTGTTACGATCGACAAGCGGGGGCTCAGAAACTTGCCATGATGATGGAGCAGGTTGAGCAGGCACATAGCCTGGCCTTCTATTTCCATGTGCGGCGCCGACCTCTTCCAGAGAAAGTTGGATTGCACGTTGAAGTTCAGCATCTGCAAGATCACGGGCACTCCTATGACGAGAACTATACATGCTTGCAGAGTGGCGGTGAGGCCTGTCTGCATTGTGACTCAAGTAGATATGAGGCGTAAGTATCGAAGAAATTACACAAAGGATACTCACGTCTTTTCCACCTTCTTTGTCAGCTTTGAATGACATCCATCACAAACCCTGACTGACTGAGTTATACCGAAATGTGGTAACGGCATAACCTTAGACGAACACTGCTGGTCAAAGACTTGACCACAGTTACGGCAATGGTGTTTACGATTCGTAAAACTGAAGGCGGTGCGACACCGGAGACATACTTCAGAATCAATCCATTCCGGGGCTGTCGAGGTATCTACCATCGCTGAATTAGCCAGGGCAAGATCTTTCGGTGGGAAATCGTATCCTTTTAAAAAATAAAAAGGAGAAGGTATTAATAACTAAAGACAAAGTGGTACAAGAACTAGCGCGATAGCTACCTTCAGTTTTGAGGGATTTGTAAACTTGGCCAACATAGCCAAGACTAGCCCTCCCTTCAAAGGCAAGAGCCCAATTCTGAATTATTTTCAAGATCTCATTCTTGACCTGAGGGTTGAGACCGGGGACCTTGAGTATCGAGACGAGATTATCTATAAACTCTCTTGAAGCGACCTCATTCAAGAAAAGATCGCCGCCATTCTTGACGCAAACATCAGCGAGCTATTATTCCCAGGACAGGTCAATGCAAATTGAAACGAGGCAACAAAGTAATTGTACATACACCCAGAGCCAAAAGCTGCACGTTTGGATTCTTGTGATTTAGTCTGCGTTTCAGAGCACGCATGGCGTCTTTAGCTGGCACTGACTTGGAGCGAATCTGATCACATATTTCGAGATTTAATGCAACATCCTCTGAACCAGTTGGAATGAGTTCTGAGGTGGCCTTGTCTACGCGATGACGAAATATGAGAATGGTTAGAATTGTGCAGAAAGGAAATGACCACACTTACCAACAGCCTCATCCAACTGCGAGCTTCCCCACAACCAGGAACTTATCGAAGCCATCGTTAGTAGACAGCGTAAGAGAGCGTTGAGGTGTATATATACTGCGATGCAAGTTGCACCAAACTGCGGCACTGGTTGTGACAAGTCCCACTGACCAAGCTTATACAAACTCCGATCTTAAATATTCCCGTTATTACAAGGAGGTCTCATCGGTTTCTGCGACCAGATCAGCAAGCTCAGAGGATTCAAATAGACTGATTATAACACATTTTGATTTCTGGAATGATATGCGAATGTTGTAGCAATATTTGAGCAGTACTCTATATTGTTATGAAAGAAATGGTTTTATTATTATTATTAATAAATTTGACTGCGTGACAAAGTCACCTATTGTGACGCAATGTAGGCGGAGCCGGACGCGGGTCAATTGGGGCGGAGTTCCAACGTGCGACTCATTCACAGGTTGTCCTCAACAACCACCTCGTTATCCTCCAAGATACTCTGAGGCCGACTCTATCTGTGTATTCTGCACTCTGAGGCAGCACTATTCGACGGTCTTACTGTTGTTGGCTATTGTCCCGGGATTCTTGTGGATTCTTGGACCGCGAACTCTTGGAAAACTCGGTTTTTATAACATTTTGTGTCTCAAGGCCTGGCACCCATCAGTCCTCAAAAAGCTGCTCAAAACAGGTTTAGAAGCACCTGAAGGCTTATTATCCTTACGAATTCGCCCTAATACTCATCTGGACACTTTTTTCACGACTTTTCCCCTTGTTTTCACCAATTTGACTGTTCAACCGTTCACCTCATTTTCAACTCGTTGTCTATCTTTCTTCAGTCATGCTTGGTCATCAATTTGCGTATTCTGCGGCTCCTATCCGCAAGGTCAAGGAAGTGCAGTTTGGTATATTGTCACCTGAGGAAATTGTGAGTGGCGATGACATTATGACTCCACATTCGTAGCTTATAAAGCGATCATTTTCCACAGAAAGCGTACTCTGTGGCAAAAATCGAGCATCCCGAAGTGATGGACGAAGCTACGCATAAGCCTAAACTTGGGGGCCTTATGGATCCTCGTATGGGTACTATAGACCGTAACTTCAAATGCCAAACTTGTGGTGAGGGAATGTCAGAGTGTCCAGGTCATTTTGGCCATATCGAGCTTGCTAGGCCAGTTTTTCATCCAGGTGAGCTTGCACGTTTTTTTATTATAGTGTGCGAACACCAATGTCCTATTTTATTTTTTGTTTAGGGTTCATCGTAAAAGTGAAGAAGATTCTGGAGTGTATATGCGTTAATTGCGGGAAGCTAAAAGCTGACATCGTGAGTCGCGTTTAGTTTCCTCTACTCGTTTTGCACCCCACATCCCAATTTTCTGGGGGCTCTCTCCACATCCCATGGAGAACCCCAAACCCGCACCACGTTAGTATCTCGACAAGCGAGGCGTTCTCCCGTTCACAGCGTGGCTTGCGCGCGTTTTCGGTCGCTTGATCGCCGCGCGAGCCATTGTAGACGCTCAGAACTGGGGGGACACGAGGTGCGCGGTGAAATGGGGGCTGAACGAGGAGTGCGAAAAAAAAGGAAGCAGATTGTGCTTAAGGCATAATCATGATATACAAGGCTTGATGACCTTCTCTGTAACGCAGAAAGGGGGTTAATCTTTAGCCAGCACTTGTGACTCGAATATTCACTGCCCCCTGTGTTTTGAGATTCTTATTAAGAATTATGTTTTTGGCGTTTCGTTGTTAATGTTGTTGCTGACTGCTTTATTCTATATGTGACTATCGTTATTTTCGAAATGATGAATCATTTCCCGATGATAAAGTCGGATCCCAGTTTCGCAGACAAGATCCGGCACGTCCGTGATCCCAAGGCTAGAATGGCCGTTGTCTGGGCGCACTGCAAGACAAAAATGACCTGCGAGACTGATGAACCGAAGGAAGAAGGTGAAGGAGCTGAGAACGATGAGCCGAAGAAAGGCCATGGCGGTTGTGGTCATCAACAGCCGCTCGTTAGGAAAGAAGGACTAAAACTTTTTGTACAATATAAAAAGCCAAAGGACGACGATGAGGTTTGTAGCACGTCGTTGTTGACGAGCATTCGCATTGACCTTGTCTTTCCGCGGATAGGAAGTGAAGTCGTTACAACCTGATAAGCGGCTGTTCACACCATCCGAGGTCTACACCACATTCAAGAAAATGTCAGATTCTGATCTACATCTTATCGGCCTGTCAGACGAGTACGCACGCCCAGAGTGGATGATTCTCACCGTCATGCCAGTTCCCCCACCCCCTGTTCGTCCGAGCATCGCCGTCGATGGTGGTGCCATGAGAAGTGAGGATGATTTGACATACAAACTTGGCGATATCATCAAGGCATCGGTCAACGTTCGCAGATGCGAACAAGAGGGTGCTCCTGCACATGTCATCACAGAGTTCGAACAACTACTTCAGGTATGTTATTACTAAGATTCGTGTGAACCGTACTTTACCAATTTCATGCCGTTCAGTTCCATGTCGCTACCTATATGGACAACGACATTGCTGGCATTCCTCAGGCATTGCAAAAGTCAGGTCGACCTGTAAAAGCTATTCGCGCGAGGTTGAAGGGTAAAGAAGGCCGTCTTCGTGGTAATCTCATGGGAAAGCGTGTGGACTTTTCAGCCCGTACGGTCATCACCGGTGACCCTAATCTTGAACTTGATGAAGTCGGAGTACCTAGAAGTATAGCCATGAATTTGACCTATCCTGAACGAGGTACGCTACCACGCTATTCTGACCACCAATAAGTTAATCACTTTCTTTCAGTCACTCCTTACAACATTGCATACTTGCAGGAGCTGGTGCGCAATGGGCCTACAGCATATCCAGGGGCTAGATATGTTGTGCGAGACACAGGCGAACGTATCGACTTGCGTTATAATAAGCGCGCCGATGCTTTTCTGCAGTATGGTTGGATAGTAGAGCGGCATCTCAAAGATGGAGAGTAAGAAATACTTCGTATTCACGATTGAAGCGCAATATTGACCATCCCGAGCAGCTTTGTATTGTTCAACCGGCAGCCTAGTCTGCACAAAATGAGTATGATGAGCCATAGAGTGAAGCTCATGCCCTATTCAAGTCAGTTTTTTTTTGATGTGATGTGCGCGTGAATTCTAAATGGTTATCTTTAGCATTCCGCCTAAATTTATCTGTTACACCTCCGTACAACGCCGATTTCGATGGTGACGAGATGAACATGCAGTGAGTACCTTAACTAGCGAATAAATTGATCACAACTACATCCTCTATCAGCGTACCTCAGAGTGAAGAAACTCGCGCAGAACTGAGTCAGATAGCTTGGGTGCCACGACAGGTTCGTCTAATTGGTTTATGATGTCTGTGGGTTATTAATTTTGTTGTAGATTATTTCGCCGCAAGCAAATAAGCCTGTCATGGGTATAGTACAGGACACCCTGTGTGGTATCAGAAAATTCACGCTCAGGGACACTTTCCTCGACTGGAACCAAGTCCAGAATATACTCCTTTGGGTACCGGATTGGGACGGGAATGTGCCAATACCCTCGATAATAAAACCGAAACCTCTTTGGACAGGGAAGCAGATTCTCAGCATGGTCATCCCGCGTGGTATCAACATTCATCGTGCCCCTGAGCCCAAGTCATCGAACCCCGTGTTTGATGATGGCATGCTAATCGAAAATGGTGAAATTGTTTTTGGCATTGTCGAGAAGAAGACTGTTGGAGCATCCCAAGGAGGCCTTGTTCATGTTGTCTTTCGTGAAAAGGGCCCAGATGCCACACGGCAAATCTTCACTGGGATTCAGATGGTTGTCAACTTCTGGCTCTTCCATAATGGCTTCAGCATCGGCATCGGCGACACTATCGCGGATACCAAGACTATGTCTTACATCACTCAGCAGATCAGCTCTCAGAAGGTCAAGGTAGCGGGTATCATTGATGACGCTACTCACGATCGACTCAAAGCGGCTCCCGGTATGACAATTCGAGAGTCTTTTGAAAGCAAGGTCCAGAGGGAGCTCAATCTTGCACGTGACGATTGTGGTCAATATGCGCAAAAGAGTTTAAAGGAGGATAATAATGTCAAGCAAATGGTGGTCGCTGGGTCGAAAGGATCATTTATCAACATCTCACAGATGTCGGTTTGCGTGGGCCAGCAGAGTGTCGAGGGTCGTCGCATCCCTTTCGGATTCCGTCATCGTACCCTGCCTCATTTCACCAAAGATGATTTCAGTCCCGAGGCCCGTGGCTTTGTCGAAAATTCTTATTTGCGAGGATTGACGCCACAGGAATTTTTTTTCCATGCCATGGCTGGACGGGAGGGTCTCATTGATACCGCTGTGAAAACGGCTGAGACAGGTTACATTCAGCGTCGTTTGGTTAAAGCACTGGAGGATGTGATGGTGTGCTATGACGGGACTGTCCGCAATTCACTAGGTGACCTAGTGCAGTTCGTCTATGGCGAGGATGGCATGGACGGCGCATTCATTGAGCGGCAGAAAATCGATACGTTCGCCCTGAGCGACAAGGAATTTGAACATAATTACCGTGTCGACGTTACAGATCCAGCTGGAGGCTTCCTACCAGGTGTTCTGCAAGTTGGTCTCGACGACAGCTCACTCGAATTACAAGCCAAATTGGACGAGGAGTTTACGCAGCTTCTGGAGGATCGAGGCGTCCTACGCTCGTTCATATTCCCCCGCGCGGATGCAACGACACCCCATTATCTGCCAGTTAATCTGCAGCGCATCGTTCAGAACGCAATCCAAATCTTCCACATTGACAGACGGAAACCAAGCGATCTTGAGCCTGCATATATCATTGAATCTCTGCAACAACTCTCAAATAGGCTGGTTGTTGTACGCGGTGATGATTCTTTGAGTAAAGAGGCTCAGGAAAATGCGTCGCTGACATTCCGTATGCATGTTCGCGCTACGTTTGCGTCTCGCCGTGTTCTCGAACAATTCCATCTTAACCGGGAAGCATTTGAGTGGGTCTTGGGTGAAGTAGAGGCTAAATTCAATCAGTCTTTGGTCAACCCTGGAGAGATGTGTGGGACACTGGCTGCTCAGTCGATTGGTGAACCAGCTACCCAGATGACGCTGAATACGTTCCATTATGCTGGTGTGTCCAGTAAAAATGTTACGCTCGGTGTTCCTCGTCTAAAGGAAATCATCAACGTCGCCACCAATATCAAAACGCCGTCCTTATCCGTCTATCTCGAGTCTGACATTGCTGAAGAAGTAAGTGGAATGCTCGCGAAGAACGTTCAACAGGAACTCGCGTACACGTCTTTGCGGACCGTCACAGCAGCTGTAGAGATTTGGTATGATCCAGACCCTAGCTCGACTATTATCGAAGAGGATTCTGTTTTCGTCGAATCGTTCTTTGCCATTCCCGACGAGGAGATCGAGTCCAAGTTGCATTTACAGTCGCCTTGGCTCCTGCGTCTCGAATTAGATCGAGCGAAAATGATTGATCGCAAACTCACCATGTCCTACGTCGCTGGTCGGATCGCAGAGAGCTTTAAAACTGATCTCTTTGTTATCTGGAGTGAAGACAACTCCGAGAAGCTTATCATTCGTTGCCGTGTCTTGGGTGGTGGTGATAAAGAGGATGATGACGGCCTGGGGTCAATCGAGGAGGATATATTCCTTCGTCAGTTGGAAAACACCATGTTGAACTCTGTCAGCTTGCGTGGAGTCAAAGACATCGAACGAGTCTTCTTGCTCCAACACGACAAGGTATACTTCAACGATGAAGGTAGCATAAAATCGAAGAAGGAATGGGTGCTCGAAACGGATGGTGTTAATCTCAAGACTGTTATGTGTATAGATGGCGTTGACTTCCGACGGACGTACTCTAATAGTTGCGTGGAGGTCTTCAACGTACTGGGTATCGAGGCGGCTCGCGCTGCTATCATGAAAGAGTTGCGTGGCGTCATCGAGTTTGAAAGTTCTTACGTCAATTACCGCCATCTTGCTCTTCTCTGCGATCTCATGACTCATCGCGGGACACTCATGGCAATTACTCGACATGGTATAAATCGAGCTGATACTGGAGCTTTGATGAGGTGTTCCTTTGAGGAAACGGTTGAAATTCTGATGGAAGCGGCCGCAGTGGGAGAGAAGGACGACTGTCACGGCATTGCAGAAAACGTGATGTTCGGTCAGATGGCGCCCATGGGTACTGGTGCATTCGAAGTCGCACTTGACATCGACATGTTGAAGGATGCTATCGTCGATCATCGTCTACCAGTACAGAATATGTTGGCTGCTCATGCTGATGGCGGTATGACTCCCGGACAAGTCGCGATGACACCTTACGATACGAACTCGCCAGCATGGTCTGAAGGTAATTTTAAGGGAGAGTCAGCTGCGTTCTCGCCGCTTGCTGTGAACGGTGGTGAAGACCCTGCCAATTTCTCTTTCCTTGGATATGGTCAGAGTCCGGTTGGAGCTGGAGGCATGTCTCCAGCAGGTCCCGGGTACAGCCCCAGTTCCCCCAATGTGTATTCTCCGACGTCGCCTTATGTTCCCCAATCACCGTTCGGTGGGGCTACGTCGCCCTTTGGGACATCGCCTTATGCCACTTCGCCTTTCTACGACCGTGCTCGCGGACCAACGTCTCCTACATACTCGCCGACGTCCCCAGCTCTTAATCTTACGTCGCCAGGTTATTCACCTACTAGTCCGCGTTATTCTCCAACGTCACCTTCATTTTCTCCGACATCCCCACGGTACAGCCCTCAGTCTCCATCTTTCAGCCCAACGTCGCCGCGATACTCGCCAACGAGTCCTTCATTCAGTCCGGCTTCGCCACGATGTATGTCGTATCTGCCTCGCATCTTGACATAAAATTGACATTAAAACTACTATCTGCAGATTCTCCGAGTAAGTTTTATTTCTGTACTTCTAATCAATTGCTGAACATATTTCACTCTTGTCACTTATATAGCTTGTAAGTGAAAAGTTTTTCATCCTTTGGCGTGTTTACTTAATTATTTTCGACAGCCCCTGCGCAAATGTCTCCATCCTCGCCGAAGTATTCTCCAACGTCTCCGACGTCGCCATCTTCGCCCAAATATTGTAAGTTTATGGAATGTTTTGCGAAGTTTCTGCTTAAACGTTTATGCTACTTCAGCTCCCACATCACCAACGTATTCCCCTGCTTGTAAGTTAAAATTTGTATATTCGTTCGTTACTTTGCTAAACGTGTATGTGTGTGTTATAGCTCCAGCATACTGTAAGTATACACGAAACTATACTCACGCTGTTGCTAACCATTTTATAGCTCCCGCTTCTCCCGCATATAGCCCAACGTCGCCCCAATGGTCACCTTCGAGTCCTGCTCAAAACGGAACAGCCAATCGGAGCCATTCGTACAGCACTTCTCCATCATGGGACTGATGCCATTATCTTGCGCTTGGTATGATGTCATTTCGCATCTGCCCCTTTTTTTTATTTGGTCGGTCAAGCCTTCCTCGCGTAAATATATATCTAGCTTTCCTGTCAAACATCATCATGTAGAATAAATGCAACCTTACTATACAAGCTAGATATGATTTTTAGTTGCCTTTGACATTGAGAGTTGATTAAGAAACAGCACAAAAGTATGCATTTCATTTTTTTTTCAACGAATCTAATATTGTGGTACATGAAATAATGAAGAATTGATGGAGAAGACAGGACGCTTGCAGGAATATATAAAAAAGAAGCATAGAGAAAGTATACTAAACGTGGAGGTTAGCTGTCGTATAAGCAGATACCCTTTTGTGTGAATAGAAGTCCGTCCAAGATGGTGCGATATTTGCAAATGAGTGGGATCAGCAGAGTACGACACAGCGTACAAATATGTAGATAGCGTCAATGGCAGAGGAAAACCATAGCGCAATACTATTACATGTGAGGGTATATCTTTCTTGAATTGGAAGCTAGTGGATACTTGTTCCGAACGCTTATAAAGGGGGGAAGTTTGCAGCGCTGCTTAGTATTGCGGGGCAGAAAAAAACCTTGAGTTATAGATCAGGAGAAACAATGATGGGTGTAAGGAGGTAGGGGAATTGTGACAAAAATCGCCAATGAACTGGCCTTAAAAGGGTAAACGTCGATAACCGTAAGAAAAAACAAAAGAAAAAGAGAGAACATGTTCATCAGATGAAGAACTGCGTGCTGAAGGGAAGTAGCATTAGCTCTTGAAGAGAGAAAACAAAACGTGGAACATACTGCATTCTACTAGACGCATGCACTTCCATCTCCTCCATCTTATATGAATTGAGTTCTTCCTTGATCCGCTGAGCCAAAGCAGGGGTCAAGCGACTCCACGTTGCAGGCTCACTCCTACGATCATAAACGCTCGGTGGGAACGTGTCGTACACAGACAAGTTATTGGCAAATGTCAGACGTTTCGCAGGCGTAGTTGCTGATCGATGAGTGAGAGTCGGTGGCGACGAGATGATCGTCGACAACGCAGGAGCGGAAGAGTTCGGGTGATTGAACATGCTTCTTTCTGGTGGATGAGGTGATGATCGTCCTGAATCGCTTTCCTTGGGCGAATCTACGCCAAGGATGCTGGATGAACCCAGCTCAAGGGGAGGAAGAAGTGAGGCTTTTATGCCTCCTGAATTGGAATGGGATGAAGAATGGGAAGGATGTCTGTGAAGGCCATCTATATGGTCCGGATCAGGAGAGGGTATACGGGCAAGAGGACCCAGCTCTGATGGCTGCCCGGTATGCGTGGTATACGAGTTGGATCGTACGCGGTTGTTGTAAGCAGGGTTGTTAGACTGGTCAGTGAGGTACGTTTGCTGATCGTACTTCTCAGCACCTAGAATAGATGTAAGACACGAAAGGCTGCTCTACAAGAATATCGAATAACTCACCTTTGAGAATGCCCTTTGCGGGTACCTTCGTTCTTTCGACGCTTCGTCGAATGTTCGCACCCCATTCGAGATTTTCGTCGTCGTCGTCACCAAGGCCAGTCTTCTCCAAGCCCACTCGGATAGTCACGTCTTCCTCTTCTTCCTCCTGACCCCAAGTTTCATCATCATCCCATCCATCGGATATGAAGCTTTGTTCAGGCAGCTGATGAGGATAATGATGATCATCCCCACTCGCGGAATCATCATCTTCAACAATCACCTTGGTGCCATCCTCATTCACTCGCGACTGTCCCCCAGCCTTGACGGGAGATACTTCACTCCTTGTCGTAGTATTTTTCTCCCACGTCGCAGGAACCGGTGCGCCGTTGGGGGGCGCTTGTTTCTGTGCGGCGGCGGCAGCTGCAGCAGCTTCCTGTTGAGCCTTCGCCTTGGCAGCCGCTTCGGCATTGCTCTTGAGCGTATGTTGCCTCGCCAATTTGGCGGCAGGACTCAAGCCGCTCATCTCGGGGCCACTCCAATCACTTGACCGGTCAAGTTCAACAATGGCATGCGAGACACTGGGCTCGACGACGTCTCCCTTTCCGCTCTTTTTCTTCTTTTTACTTCCACTGGGTTCTCCTTCCTTCTCCTTCTTGTCTTTGAACAAGGATGTTATCCCAGCAAGCGAATTGCGTCTTGCAAGTTTGCCTATGGATCCGAGTTTACGGATCATGACAGATGCAGAGGAAACGGTAGAGGAAAGAGAAATGTTATCGGTGGAAGCATTAAGACGAGAGTTGAACAAGGAGGCAGCGCGGGATTTTTTCTTGACTGGTGCTGTGGTCGATGCAGCATCTACGGTGTCTGCGCCATCAGAGACGGCGCCACCGCTCGAGCCAATTTTCGCTCCATCTTTGTTAATCGGATGTACCTTACGGGAAGAGCTAGCCTTGATTGAGATATCATCCTTGTCAGTTTCCTCTTCCAGTGCAGCAGCCGCATTGAGCGACAGGGCCCGACGAAACCGGCCCTTGAGGCCGCCACTACGCATGGAGGTGCCTGAGGAGGGTTCATGCATGGGTGGAAGATCGCTATCGTCCCTGGACATGCGCTTCTCAGCGGCAGTGAAGTTTCCTTGCGATAGAGGTGAAGGCCGCGCAGGACGAGCGGCGGGGTTGTTATGCGAAGATGTCGTACTAGCGGAGTTGTTCGTGGAGGCAGACGGCCTGGGTGCACCCGAAGACGTTGAGGTCGAGGATGAAGACGGATTTCGATGATGTGGGTGAGGACGTGATGGTGCGCCATTAGTCGAGGAAGAACCACTGCCAGTCCTAGCGCGAGGGCCATCGCTGGATGAGGTGGACTGAGGTGGGCCAGCGCGTGAACGGCCACTGCCGGCACTGCCAGAATGACTAGGGTTAGCACTGCTAGAGCCGTCGGGACGGCCGGTGGAGGAGCCCTGGATGCTGCTTGTCCTTTGGCGCGAACCAGCGCCGTTGCTAGAACTTGAATTGATGGATGAGGAGGAAGCAGAAGCGTCTCCACGTGCGTAGGGAGGTTGGAAGGGGCCTAGCGGCTGTTGAGACCCTGATCGCCATTCAGCCTCTGGGGTGTGAGCAGGACGATTTGTTGGGCGACGATACGGATGGAAGCCGTTGTACTGAGTCTGTGCAGCATGGTCAGAGGAAGCAGAGCGCTGTACGCCGTTGTAAGAGTTTGGAAGATGGTTCTGATGGGGAGGTGGAGTACCACTTGGAAAAGGGCTGAATAGTTGATTTTGGGTAAAGTAGTCAGGTTGGGTATTTGGGCCAGAGGAGCTAAGGCTGCGCTGAGGAGCGAGGGGAGAATGATGAGAAGGAATGTGCTGCATCTGATGAGCCTGCTGCGCATTGAACATCATTTGCTGATATGCCCATTGAGCGAGCTGGGCATTAGCTGAGGGATCAAAGTACGGATTCTGCTGTGAGACTTGTGGATGTGGGGGATGGGGGTGTGCAGGATAAGAGGGCTGATGCTGATTTTGGTAGAAAGACGGGTAAAAAGGCTGGGCGGAGATGGAAGGAGTCCAACCGCCCTGTGGCTGCTGCTGGACAGGATAAGGGTAGGGCTGCTGGAGCTGATGGGTTGTGGGAGAAGGGGAGGGAGAATGATCGTTGACAGGAGAAGAGCGTTGGCGGGGAACGGAAGGGTTTGGGTTTGTCGAGGGCAGGTCCATTGTGTGATCTCGTGGAGGATGCCAGTCTTGAGGAGCGAGCACGGCCATGGACTAGCAAGGAGAGATAAACAAAAGAAGACGTGCTGGGAGAGAAATAAGTTTTTACGGGTCAAGGACGGGAGCGACGAAGAGCGCAGCAGAGAAGTGGGGGAAAGACGAGTGAGATATGAAAAGCAAGTGATGAGTGATGGAAGAGACTGACTGGATATGGAGCGGAAGAAAGAGGGAGAAGGGGGGAAGATGGGGACGAGGAGGGGGAGAAAAGAAAAGAAAAAGGGAAGACTTGCCAGCGACGAGGGGGACGAGGACGACGACGAGGAAGAGCAACGCCTTGACTGGCGTGTAAACTCGGCAACCGTCCTTTGATGGCCCAGCCACACTCCACAAACAGCCATCAACACGTTCCTCGCCGTCTCCACTGAGAATCACATCCCAATGCGGCATTTTCATTTCATCTCCTTATCGTCGCCTACAAGTCCGCGAATCTTTGCAGTCGTTACTCTACTGGTACTACACCGCCTGAGACTTACCATACTTACGTTGACATCCGACATGGAAGCTCTGTTGTCGTCATCCCCATACTCTGTAATATATCTGACGCCTGAGATATTCTGTGAAACACCGCAGTCTTTGCTGTTTCATCATGTCCCTAGTGCATTTGCGGACACTACTTTGATCACCTGGAGTGAGCGTCACTCGCTCTAACAGCCTGGTGTGAATCATACACGTACATACTATCATTCTACACAGCATACAAATCCACACACCAATCTTCGATCACACACATCTGCTACTTACTCACCAACCTCACTGCATTCCGCTTCTGGGCACTCTTCCACCGTTTCTCCGTCACCGTGAACACTTTAGGGAACCACCCTCCCAGATCCACATCGCCTTCCGTACCCAGCACCATATGTGCAACCGCCTTAGCGCTCATCCACGCATGAACCATCCCCTCCCCTGAGTATCCCGCAGAGATCCACTCTCCAGGACTCGCAGTCATCCCAACCCGTCCAGAGCCCATCACAATGTCTTCCTTCCTCTTGATCGCTACCACGTCCTGCGTAGCGGGTGTCGATGACACCGGCGGTGCCTTTCGTCCTGCAACTTTCACCGGAAGGCGACCAACCCACGGGAGCCCGTCGGCAGAATTGCTCAGAATCCCACTCCAGAGGGCTTTGACGCGGCCTTGATGCCATTCACCACCATCTTCCTCGCCCTCCTCCACCGCCACCCCCTCCGCGCCCCAATTTCTTTCACCAAAGTACACAGGTAGCGCACCAGAAATATGCGTCGCACTGTAAACGCTATACATACTGTCGTCAGCATTCCCCAGTCCAACGAGACCTGCAAGGCCAGCGCCGAACATGAGCTCGTTCTCGCCGCCCGGGAGCTGCGTGAGGTAATCGAATCCTTCTCTCTGACCATAGAAGACGAACGAGCGTGCGCCAGACAACGTACTCGGCGTCAGCGTCACGCCAGGACGCTGGGCAGACATGCTCTCGCATACCGGCACAATGATGCGTCGTAAAGGGGTGACGAGATGCGAAACATAGGCATTAGTGGCGTGAATGATATGAGGTGTCTTGATCGAACCGCGAGGTGTTGTCACCGTATAGAATGGCGATGCAGGCGTTGGCTGGGTAATTGATGTGCATGGCGTTTGCGTGTAGAGCTGGAACCTGGTGTAGAATGACTCGTAAGATGCAATAAACATATATGACTGCGAAACTCACTCTTTCGGATACTCAGAGAGCAGACGGGATAAGACACCCGTCACGAGACGATAAGGGTGAACAGCGCCAGCTACAGTACTAATGCAACCGACTGAGAGCGGAGAAAGATGGAAGTTCTGCTACTAGTCTCAGCAGACAACATTGGAAAACATGACAACAAGCTCATCACACAGACCTGGATGCCTTCTGCAGCTTCGTACGAGCGGTAAGAGGACGCTTCTACGGGCATATCCGTCTTATACCTATTTAGCTTTTCCTTGGCCTCCTCAAAAAGTGTCCGATCATAGAAGACATCAATGGTCTCTACTTCACGAATTTGGCACTCTTCAGTGAGGTGCTCCTCAGCAGCGGCACGTTTCATCTCAGCAAGGTGCGACAGACGGAATCTCATTATCATTTTCGCTGTATCTTCTCCATAGTCTCCTTTCAGAGTGGTATAATCGTGGTATAGAGGTGGATTGATGTGTCCCCCGTTTCTTTGAGCGTCAAAAGGTGAGCGCACCGAGCACGTGCTGTGGGGAAGATGACTGACCTCCCAGTAGCGCCAGAGCAAGCATCTCTCGCTTCTAACATGACAACATGTAAACTGTCGTTTTCTCCAAATAATGTCCGGGCGAAAGACGCCGCTGTTATGCCGGAGCCAATGATCACTAGGACGGACAATGTTGAGCCGGGCCCGTCTAAGTATACCAGCATGATTCGCTCACCTATATCTGCATATGCAGGAATGTATTCTAGGGGTAAATGCGTTGCGATGGGAGCGGGAGGCACCGTCCAGAAGGGAATGGTTGGGTTTGGGACCGGCAAACCTGGAGACGCCTCCAAAAGCTTGCGGACATGGGTCTCCCGAGCTGGTTTCCACGACGCTTTCGGGCGAACATATGGTTGCCTCGTATGCGAGATAAGGTTACCCATAACGGTAGAGAGGTTTTGTATGAGCTTTGAAGTGGAAGCTGAAGTGTTACTGAGTGCAAGAACAGGATTGAAAAAAGGCCGAGGAGGGGGTGGGATGATATAGCTGCCCAGAGGTCCATTTTTAGGGTGATTGCGGGGTGACTGAGGGGAGCGCTAAGGCGAGAAAGAGTTGCTCGCCCGCTGTGCGTAAGAATCATTCATTTGGGATGTGAGTTCCGGTGCCCAAACATGCTCGTTGCAGAACTGCAGCTATCTAATCTATACCTGCCTTTTTGGGACATGTGGCGTGAGTACAACTCCTTTGGTCGTTTCGCTGGTTTAGCTCACAGTTCTTGTCTTCACCACGCTTTGCTCTCCGTCTCAAGCTCATTCCATATCGCTCTTTGAATTCAGCCTCATGCTTGTCTCCCCAACAAAGGCAAACTGTCTTAGTGACTTGTTGTGTTTCAACCGTTTTATAACCCACCTTTTGTCAAAGCCTATCTAAGCACATATGGCTTGCTCTGCTTTTGTGCAAGACAATGTTGATCGCCTCCTTCGAGAATGGTCTTTTCACGCTTCGAAGGCAGATGGCGTTGACATCGCTACATTTATAAACACCCGGTTTCGCGAAGTATCCCTTTCAAAGCATTCACATCTGACATTTATCCGACCTATCACAACCATCTCTCTGCCTCTTGATATCCCTTTATAACTTCTTGCTGCCATGAGACTCCGCAACTGGAAGGAAACCGTCGAGCCCACTATCGAAGACACTTTGCTTGACGTCCACCCCCACTTCATCGATGAGCCTTTCCCATGGGTGTTTCACGTAAGTAGTTCTGACACATGACCACTTGTACTCGGCTAAATCCAATTGGTTATCTTTCCGACATAGAATGGCAATGCTGCATGGGTCAAAGTTGATGGGAAATGGGTTTGCGGCGTGATTGTCACATTTGAAAGGTATCATTTCGATGAAAGGGTGCGCTTTCTTATCTATTTAGTCACGCTGGCAACCCTTGACAGTCTACCCACCACTGACAGAACATCTGGCGCGTTTACCTCGTGCGTTGGGGCGGTCGCCGAAAGGACCATCACCAGGCTTCTTTCATGACGGGCGATGGAAATATTAAACCGGACTCGCCCGAAGTGAGAGAGCTGCTGAGGAAAGAAGGCGTATTCATATGATCGCTTAGATCTACTTACCGTCGCCATCGAGCATATCCAGAGTTTACAATCACATCTACCATATGATATACTGCCCAATGCATTTAATTTTGTTATCGCACACCAGGCTAGCTTTACTTCTTTTATCACATGAATGTCATATTTTACAGTGTTGTTTCATGATACACATGTTAATCGAACAGACAGGGAGGGGGTGTAGATATCGTAGCAAACTTTGCAAACATTTTTAACTCACAGTGTTTCATGGAGAACCTTGACCGCATCCCTTTGCATGCGAGCAAGATACGCCACAAGCTCACCGTCCGGGAGGGCCGAATGATCCAGTACTTGTGTTAGTTGCGTCCGAAGCTATATGCGGTCACGAGCAAGCACATCAGGCACGCATCTCGGTGTGAGCAGTTCAATATTACTTTGAGCAGAGCACGACGCCGAACAGCGACCTTGCTCGACTGGCTCTCCGCTTTTCGCCTAGCTTCGAGATCAACGAGGGCTTCAGCTACTCTTTTTCCTTCTGTTGTCACATTGCTAGGCAGATCCGCAAGTCGAGCGAGTTCTAACCCTTTAATACAGATGAAGTATAAACTAATCTAATAGAGGGCGATGGAATACTCCACCTACCATAATGATCCATGTCCTCTGGAAGGCCGTCGACAATTCTAACCAATACAGTAAGACTTTTGAAAGTCTCATTCCTTGTACGTCACCTACTTGTATTGAAATATCATACCGAAATTTGCAGTGGATTGACGAGCCTTCTGTGGGACATACATACATAACCATAACCCATCGCCTTAGTCGTCTTAACATACCTGAACAGATAGATGCAGGCTACAACAAGGTAAATGAGGATGTTTCGCGAGAGCTTTGTTACTTACTTGACGACGGTAGGTTGACGAGATAACGTAGTGGCGAGCTCAGCGAAATGTCTTGGGAAACCATAGGTGGTCAACATTGATTGGAGCAAACTAAGGTAGTACTCACGTAGCAAAGAAAACGAAACACTACAGTACACGAATCATACGCGAGTCGGAAAGGCACTGGTAGTAAGTGTACATACTTTCATTTTGATCAGCTCTTCGGCAATGGCATGCGAAACGCCTATGCCCTCATTAGGGGAGGTACCGCGGCCAAGTTCGTCTATCAGAACTAATGTCCTTGGCGTTGCAATACCTAAGACTCGCTGGTTAGTATGAGGCACAGTCAAATACAGGACGCCATGACCCAGAATCATCGCAGATGAAGTCATTTCGTTGGCGAATGTACTCAAGCTTTTCTCCATATCATCATCGTTCGATAAACGGGTAAGTAGGGCGTCATGAAGTCTAATGGATGCTTTAGGAGATACCTTTTACAAAGCATGGAAAGCTTACCGGAAACTAGCGTATTCGGCGGGAACGAAGCAGCCGCACATCGCCATGATTGTTAATAGTCCAGTTTGGCGTAAATACGTGCTTTTGCCTTGATAGAAGTGTTTATATATCAGTTATGAAGTCAAAATACCAGGAGAATAACCTGACCTGACATACTTGTTTAAAAATATCTTAGTATTTTCCCATATCATCGACTGCATAAAGGGTGCTTACTTGGGTCCTTGAACTATTTGAAAACTTGAGGAATCACAGCAATAGACGTCGTTCGGAACTAGGGTGCCGGCGGAATGCGTTGTTTCAAGTATAGGATGACGACCCGCTTTTATTGCTAAAGTGCCAGTGAACTCAGGTCGCACTGTACAAGTACAATTAATGAAATACCACGAGGCCAGTAACAGTGTTTACCGTAATTGCGCACTGGTAGTAAAATTTCAGTAAATTCAAAGCCACGCTCCAAGAAGTGGATAACGACACACCTATGGATGCATGTGCAAAAGACCATAACAAATCTACGAGTGCTATCTGCAGAGAAGTTAATCGGTAACCTAAATGCATTGAGCTGACTGTGTACCGCTTCAGATGCCTTATATAAAGCCCCTGCATCTCCCAAAACCTCCGTGACCAGTTCTTGGATTATCCTAAAGATAGTCGATGAGCCCTGATAAAATATGTGGAAGTTGGAAAAGCAAAGGCTAACTTGTCGCTGAGGTTAAGGGTTTCATTTAAAGCGGCTTGCATTCGCGCATTCATCTGTTTCTATATCACGGGTTTCCAGTTCATTCTGTTAGATGCGACCTTCACGTCTGTTCTGAGAACTAACCAGCCTCATTATGGAGAAGAGCTTTCTTCCCTTTCTCTCAGAGACGTTGATAAACTCTTGAGGTAGCTCACCTTCCAGCTCGTCCTTCTTCAACGCAAAGACGAACCCGCTTTCCTGGTAAACTAGTGTCAAGGGGAGCCCGTATTCCTCCGATAATGACGTGTTTAGCTGATAAATGTCGCCGACGTTCTCTTTATAAGTCTCTCGCGCAACATCGAGGAGATGGTTACGATTTGCCTATGAGTTTATAGTTAGAAACCAGCGAATTTTTCAGAGACTAAAAAAACACTTTGATTGCATATACCCGTGCGTTTACTGCCGTCAATCCGCCCTGAAAACGTGTGAGACTGTAAGTGTAATAAAGATAATATAAATACCTTCACAGGGCTTGCTTCGTCATTCAAATTATCACGGATGAGCTTGTCAATAACAGACAGACGTTCGTCAGAAACCATCTATATAATAATATATAACTTTGAACTAGGGGTGAATAATGAAAATCAAAACAACCGCACATCATGAATAATTGAAAGAAGCTGAGACCGAGTTCCACTCAAGGCCTTTTGCAACAGGGGGAGATTCCGGACAAAACTGCGAAGGTTGAGCATTTGAGATACACGCAAAGACGCAAATTTAGGAGAGTTAGAAGGCCGAGCCTCAGATGCTGCAAGCTAATCAAACAGATGGTGAGAGTTGTGACCCTAATAAGCGCGCTGCCTACCGATGAAATCAGTTTGTCAAAGTCCATTTTGTTAAGCGATTTCAATGCATCCCTAGTGTCAGAGAACTTGTCTTCGTACTGCACAAGCTCTGGCAGCCAGTTAACGAACTAGACTGAACAGGAATGGTGAAATGGTATCGCACCCTCGATGGCATCCAAACGAGCGTCAATAGCACTTTGTACTGCAATATAACCTGAGTGACTGAGCTATCGAGGCCTGGTCAGATGCACCCACCTGTGATTGGTGCGAGAATATTGACTCGCAAAAGTCGAGATGCCATAGCGGTATATGTATGATTAAGAATGCTATAAGAGATGTTTGTCAAATGCCTAATTAACGTTAATAAAGCTCACCCAAACAACGAACGAGACGACTTCTTTGAAGTCCTATTATGAACCAGCTCGAGACTTCGGGCGGTCTCTGGATCTATCATCATCGTGCCCTCGACGGGTACATACCTTATGCGAAGAGAGCAAGGAGCATAGCGCGTGTTGAAACGACTTTCCGCATGTTTGAAGAGAGCGCAGGCCGCCGAGAGAACATAATATCTGTAGGGGTCAGCTTGGCATTGAGAAATGATAAACAAACGCATATATGCACTTGTCGGATGCTGCAACGAGAGTAGCTGCTTTCTCATCGTCTTCTATGCAGAGTTGGTTTATGAAATCGAGACCTAAAGGAACGGTAGCATAATCTTTCAGCAAGAAAACTCCTTGTCTTACCCCCACCATCGTTCCAGTACTTCCTCGCCACAGGCTCAACTGCAATGTCAGGAAATTCTTCAGCGATGTACTGTACTAAATGAGAAGTTGTCGAGGAGTTTTTCCCCGTGGACGCGAGAGATACGTCCGCTGCTGACATGAAAGTGTCTGGGACAAGAATGAGAGAGGGCGGATGGATATGCATCTGATGTAAAGTCTTCACGTAGGTTGAACAATCTGCCAGCTACACTTATAATGCAACTTAATACTTCGTATTATGCGCAATATTATGCAGTTATATAACCTGGACAAGAATAACCCGGCCTGTTTCTTTGTCGAGAGCTGCCATACCAACTTCGTGTGCTACACCCCGACTTTCCAGAATAGCGATGACAAAACTAGCCTCCTGCCTGATGGATGTTCCCGTCTGAGGACGAGCGGTCCCTGGGCGAGATTGCCCAGTCCAAGGCCGAGATATACTAGGACGTGGAGTTGCTGTTAATAGACGCGTTATTGTAGAATCCATGGAGAGCATACGACCAGTAGATGGACGTGGGACGGGTCTTGACATGACAGTACCACAGTAAAAGATATAGAATGTGACGCGTCTTACGGTCTTGTTTACGGTCACATGCATCGCGGATCTGCGTGTACTTAGAAAAACACCTACCGGAAGTAATGTTACAGTACAGTACAAAGCAACAAAATGATGTAGCTTTACATGTACCTATGTTTGTGTCCAGTCCAACCTCAAGAAGACAATCAATATGTCACATTGAGCGGTATGCACAACACGGCTAAGTATAAGACCCTGCAATATTGCAAGTTGATTGGCTAATAGAGCTGCGTGCTCAAGAACGATAGAACATTACGAGGCAACGGTTTTGATATCTTTCACTAAACTTCACGTCAGTGATTATATAGCCTCTGTCACTGGTGATGGCTCACTCGAACAAATGTTTATTTCTCAGCGTTTTCACCTTTCAATCGAGTCTCGCTCTTCAGTTTCGCTTCTCCTACGTTTTCCTAGTCGACCCTCGTCGGTTGTTTGTCCATCCCGACTAGCTAGAGAAACATAACACCCCAGAGGGCCACTCCAAGAATAATGATGGCCCAGAATTTGCGTGAGCGTTCTATATGCACGAACATTGGCAAAGGGCACATTGGTTCTCGGATCAAGATATTGCGCGGGAAGTCCGCTGAGCAAACATGTAGTTCTAGGTCGAGCTGTAAAAGTCAACTCGTCAAACACAAGGTCAGAGATATATTGGACGCGCGCACTTAATGGCCTCTGTTTTCCACTATACACACGGAGATCCTCCCACTTGACATGATCTCCAAACATAGCTGACATGGTATCTCTCCATATAGGTTTAGAAGTGATCTCCGATTGTGACCTGGCATGAATGACGTAGTTTTTGCAGATCCTTTCTTTCCGCTCTGCTTGGGTAGATAGGGAGCCGGGCCCGCCTGGGACCGAAAGAGATACTTGAGGTGAGCTAACCAATACTTCAGAAGCGGGTACACAGGCCGAAGGAGTGTTTGGGTTCCCCACATCCGCCGATGCGAATAAAGGTTGGGTAGGATTAGCCGCCGCCACGCTGACATCAGTTGGAAAGGCGCGGAAACTAGAGTAGACAGAGATGTTACTTGTAACAATGGAGCCTCCATTTGGTTGTGTAACCAAGGGAGAGTGAATCATTTTGATTTCCTCTGCTCGACTAACCCACCTCAACATGGGTCCCTCAATATGAGGACGGATCACACGTGCCCGTGCGCGCTTCTCTTCTTCTAGTTTTAGATAATCCCTATGTTCTATGATATTTCCCTCCTCTGTATCAAGCGCAAGAGCTATTAGTTCGTCTTGCGTCGGTGCCCGTGTCCTGACCTTCAACCTTTTCGGAACGGACGCCTAATCAGATGTACAGTTAGTGCATTATGTAGTGTAGCTGTGACTGCCGACCTTTTTCTCTTCCGCATCTTTGATGCGACTCACAGTAGCAGAGGTACTCATGATAGTATGCCTTCTTTGACTTTGTCTCTTTGAGCCTTCGATGACTTCGCCGGTTTCAACATTGATAGCAACTCCTAAAGAGACTCTTCTTTTTGGTCTCAATTTTGGGCGAGAGGCATCGTTTGAAGACGATGAATGTGCTTGAGGGTTAAAAGTCACTCGTTGTCTAGCATGAGCCGCTGCCGTTGCCTTGTCTACCCGCGCTCGAGCGGCCTACTCAGAATATCAGACTGGCCTCACTTGCAAGGGCGTATTTGAGTACCTTGCGCTCTTTCCTTTCCTCGTCTTGAACAGTGGCTTCACCTGGATCCAAGCCTTCTTGGATGGCTTCTTCATCGGTACTCGCGAAGTCAGATTCGAATATATCCTCCTCGTCTATCAGCGAATAACATGCTGTTGAGATGTGTGAGATTAAAAGAATGCCAACGAACCTTTTCCCACCACAAAATCCACGTCATCTTCTGTGTCCTTAGGATCTTCCAAAGCTAACTCAGCCAGAGCAGCCTCCATCCTTGGAGGGATATATCGTTATGTGTCTCCTACATCAGATACACGTTTTACCCACCGGTTGCCTGCTGTGCTCCGCTTAGACCTTCTTGTGACTAAAGGTTCATCTGGCTCTGCCATCGTAATAATTTATGTGCCTTCGGTTGGATGGTGCGATGGAGTAGTATGGTCGAGGTCGTTAGCTTTAGGATTCAACATGTCAAAACAACACTCACGCGCTTGAAATTTCCAGCCAGGTGGTCGGACACTACCGTACAAATGCCTCGAAAACCAAAGACGATCCCCGGACCCTCTCGCCTCTCCCAAGTGCTTGTTGAATTAAAGAAATCACCTACTTTATCTCTTGTTGGCTTGCGAAGGTTGAGTTTGACACTTGCGGCTAAGAATGATCATTTTGGTTCTCGGTATATGTTCATGCAACTAGCTCATCGCTCTAGAGAACTAACTGCGCGATTTCCCAGACATTTTGTGAAAGAAGAACTCCCAAGGATACGCTTCGCTAATCCGGATCTCAGCATTGAAGTGAGGAAATTGCCAAAAAACCCAGGTGAAACATGGAAACCAGAGATGATACTCGAGTTTGGTATGTTAAAAACACCGTTTTCCTTTTTCAAAAAATAGCTGTATAAAAACTCACGGCAACAACAACATGATGTAGAGACCGGTATTCAACGTATTATTGATATGGACAAAAAATGGTCGACATCAATAGTACAAGAGCTCATGGACCATGGAGGCGGAAATCCGTGGAAGGAATTCAAGGCCGAGGCATTAGCTGCAGGGCTTCCACTATTCACACCTGCGCAGAAACCAAGACAGCCGATTTCCAAAGTTCGCACTCGTACATCCCGACCTAAGTCTGTTACAGAGATTGGCAGGCAGCAATCGGATGAAACGAATAGCGAACTCTCGCTGTCCCCGCCTGATCCACCTAAGACGGGGGCTGCAGCTGTTCTTCCATAAGTTTTATCAGACAACCTTCTTTTATATGCAGCTGTAGTCTATAGAACATCTAGTCCTACACATAATTCATGAGGGTAGACTCTTTATGCGCTGACCCGTGCAGCACGCTTTTAGTCGGTCATCCAACTGGATATTAGTACTACCACCCCTATGCCAAGTATAACTGCCGCCAGACTGTCGAAGAAAGAAACAGCCAACTGTATATACCTCAGTCCATTCATGATGAGCGAAGGAAATGGTGGAGGAATATGAGGCAGTGCGATTGCTAGCAGAGTAGGAGGCTGAACCTCATCCTGGAAAAGATATCAGTTATTGGCACAAGGCGGTATTGGATATACTTACATTACCACGGAATATGCGCAACGACTGTAGGAGAACCTGAAGAGTTATAAAAGCCCATAAAAATGGCTTTGGAATATCAAGACATATTTCTTACAGGTAAAAGCGGGCACTTACTACAAATTGAACCCCCCATCCTCCAGCGCTAGCGTTTTTCCAGGCTAGCTGAGCCCATCGGCTCCAATATATCTCGTCAACAGCACCATGGGTCTGCGCTAAGAATAGCTCGGGTTCCTTCCACAGCACGAAAAATGCAAGCAAACACCAAACACTCAAGAGATGAAGGAGTGGTGTGAGTTTCTGAAAGCGCGTGGCTGGTTTCGGGGGAAGAGGGACTGTAGATACTTTCCCCGTTCCGTTTTGCCCTTGCGACAGAGGGAATGGAGGAAAGCCGGACATGATTGATGCAAGTGGGTCACTTTGAGGGGTCATTGCAGCACCACTAGACGCATAAGGGAGCGGTGGAACAATAGGTTGATTAGAGGATGGAGGACTGAGTGCACCACTCATGAGAGCCTGAAGAAACTGATTTTGGTGCTCCTCAGACCAGACACTCGGGTCAGGAGGTGCGCTTGCAAGATTGGAGGCTCTAAAAGATGGAGGCGGAGGCGATGGCCTTGACTGCTCAGAGGAAACAATAGAGGGAGGAGGCATGTTTGTTTCTTCGCCCACGAAAGCTTCAAGATTTGCAGAGACGCTTCTAGAGGGCTGTTCTGCTCATGATTTATGGAGAACGGTCTTTATACGGTAATTCTGCACCGAGACTCACTGTCATGCATGTACGCCGGTGCGTCCTCCCCTCTGGCAGACGTGGTCAGCTTTGCGAGACGATCATTTCCACGGCTGAGGATGGCCTTTCGGCGAGCTTCTGCGCGTGCTGAGGCCGACATTTGGGGTTTGTCGATATCGTTATGGTGGTTACTGAAAGCAAAAGAATACCCAAGTCTGAACGTGTCAATGGCCAGCTCACTATAGACGCCACCAGCATGCCCAGAAACGCGTGCCGCGGTGTGCACGTGGCTGTACTTTTTCTTTGGCAGACCACCACACTTGCTATCGATATTATTTACATGTCGAGACAAGACAAAGCAACGACTGACAGACATTCCAAGATTCTTCGGGAGCTTGTGAAGCAGCCAGATAATAAACTGTGTGCGGATTGCAAGCGTAATGGCAAGTCTTTCTTTGCCCCACAGAGCTTTCGCTGACTTTTCTTTCAGATCCACGTTGGGCTTCATGGAACTTGTAAAATATGACAATCCATCCGTTTGTATATTCATTCTGATACTCTTTCTAGGGGCGTCTTTCTGTGTATTCGCTGTTCAGGTATTCATCGCGGAATGGGGACCCATATCAGCCGTGTGAAGTCAGTTGATTTAGATGTATGGACACCTGAACAGATGGAGGTATCCATTTCCGCTTCTCCCAGCTTTATATCCAGCTTAATTGTGTTGCTTGATAGTCAATACAGAAATGGGGGAATCGTCGGGCCAACCTTTATTGGGAGGCTCATCTAAAGCCTGGTCATGTTGCTCCAGATCAGTATGCAAACATCAACTAACTTGTACTCAATCGTCATTCCTGACATATCTCTTACAGCAAAATGGAATCTTACATTCGATCAAAATATGAATCGCGTAGGTGGGCGTCGGACGGACCTCCCCCAGCGGATCCATCGGTACTTGATGGCAACACTGAATCTGTCCCTGAGTCGCCCATGATCGAGCCTCAAGTGCCGCCAATTTCACAACGTCCTACGCATGCGTCAGTGAACAGCCTTTCTGCTCGTCGTCCCGCATCGCCCTCGGTACGAGTGCCTATTACTACGCGGCAACCTCAGCCTAGACAGCTCTTATCTGCTGCTGTTGTTGATAGAAACCAGCAAATCGAAGCTCCCACCCTTGCCTCGCCTACTGTCCAAACCGAGCCAGCCAACCCTGCCCCCTCGCAAGATGACCTTTTTTCCCTTGATTTCCATGCACCTCCTGCTCCTAGCAGGCCGGCAGCGTCGCAGCCAGCCAAAGATGTCAAACAAGATATCCTCTCTCTCTTTTCTACTCCTGCCTCAACTGCTGCTGGACAAACTACGAGCGCTTATGGACAGTTTTCTCCTGCTTCTGATTCTCAGTCACCTTGGAACCAGCTCAATACTGGTACTCTGCCTCAAATTTCGTCTGTGCCCCAACCGACTAGTATGGTGGGATCTAGTGGGTCTGGTTTATGGGGAGTATCGTCTGGTTGGGATTCTACACCCATACCACCCGGGCCTACGCAGGGAAATATCTGGGGAAGTGCAGCGTCATCAACATTACAACCATCACAAATACAGACACAGCAAACAAATATCCTTAGTACAAATGACATTTGGAGCTCTTCAAACTCTGCAGCGGGTATAGGGGGAGATATGTTCGGTTCTGCTTCCACGGGGAGTACCCAGAAAAAGGATGATGTTTTTGGAGATTTGTGGGGTGATTTCAAATAACTTGAAGATTCGACTCCTTACTCGCGTACACACACACTCATGTTACAGATGATATGAATTGATTACAGGCACGTTTATCACATTTACAATGTCTTTACCCCTTACGCGATGTTCAAATCCTGAGTCATAGTCAGCGTGTGGAGGAAAGTACTTTTCACAAGAATCACACCTTTTCCATAAGCTTTCTTGCGATTGGGTGAAAAGAGTTTTTGAATGTCTCAAAGACTTCGAGGGCTAGAGTTTTGTCTACTCTATACACTGCCCTAAATACCGGTCTGCAAAACTTCATACGACCCTTTACTACGCCCGTACCATCATCGCCAACAACCCAGCGGACAGCTTCAGAAGCATACATCTTCGCAGCGGAAGAGGATGGGTCGAGGAGCGCAACTTCGTAGAAGCGTAGGCGAATTTCGGCATTGGGGGAGTTGGCGAAATGATAGAGTTTACCCAAGTGATAGATATGCGTTGATGGCAACGCAGGGTAGATTTGTAGGCGCTCCATGAAAACGACTAGATTTCGGTATGTCATAATGAGTATTGAGGAAAATAAGACTATTAATTACCTATTTGAACTGAAGACATCTCCTGCAAATCGGATTCCTTGAAGTCAAGGTTGGATGGCTCCGTAGTAGAACGCGAAGCGTCCCACCGCTCAGCTAGAGCATAAGCCTGCGTTGCTAAAGTAGTATCATATTGCATGTTCACTGGCAGTTGCAAGCCCTCCCCGTGTAACCATGCCTGGATGTTTATATCAACAGTTGCTCGTGGATCAGTTACAAAACGGAAGAACGTACATCCCAATCAACAGTGTCAAGTAGCTTAATCTTGTCATTGCCACCATGCTTCTGATAATATGCGAAGAGGTGTGCTCTCCATTGCTCAGTGGTAATACTTTTACCCATGAAAGTGTTTACATAATCTTTCACATATGGCAAAAATACATCCAGACCGCCGAGAGTACGTTCTGATGGTGCTTAGGTTAGTGACTTGATTGCTCTAAAGAAGAATGTTTACCTAGGTGTAAGATTAAATTTGCTCCTTTCTCGTAGGGGACGTCACTGTAGGCATCGTCTGGATTTTCACCGGGCTCGAAGTGGATGACCAAGCGTTGATATTTGGGTCTACTTTCATACTGCTTCAAATCATCATACAGAGACTTTGCGCCAATGATGTAAGACAATCCACGATGTGCAGGCGAATATAGAACTTGAAGCAAAAGACGCTCCATGTAAGTTGTCCAACCTTCGTTCAGCCAGAAATGAGATGCATCTGCATGACTGTACATCTGTAAGATAGAAGTATGATTTCCGAATGAAAGAGTATCACTGACGTTACACCATTACCAAAGTACGAATGCGTTAATTCATGCAATACGACGTCAACGAGGGACCTGTCCCCTGCCAATAAGGCTTTAAAGTGTATTAGTGATCATAGTAACAGTTGGTAACAAAGAAAGGACGCAACTAGGCGTTACAAACGTCAAACATGCATTTTCCTAACAGACGTTCAAAACAAATCGCGACGTTATGTTGAGTAACGACTTACCATGCCTCCATATGGGAAAGAAGGGGGTAAAACCAAGAGATCATACACGCCGAAACGATATGATGTAGTGAGCTTTTCCTCTGCCACCAGAAATCTGGCCATTTCAATATTAATGTTAATAATGGAGCGTCGTGATAAGGTTATACTTGGTAGTGTCTTCACTGAACTCCCAATATGAAGCGTCAATCAATTCTGGTTCTGCCCAAATACCGCATTTCCACTCTTTGCCTTCGACTTTAGGAAATGCTCGGTAACGGACGTTACCGGAGGCTATTGCAATCAAGTAGGACGGGATTGGGACGGGCTAAATACGAGAGCATGTTGAATTGCATCAGAAATATAGCGCAGTTTTCAACGGAAGCCCTCTTCATGTACTGACCTGGCGGTAAGTGTAGGTAACGAGATCCTTACCGATTACTTTACCGTCATGGGCAGGACCTTCTGAAGGCGGCGAAACGCGTATTGCAGACATAAGGACCGGCAAAACCGCAGAGATTTTCGCATCATACGACTATCAATAAATTTTAAAGGTCAGGAAACCTAGAGTCTGCGTGACTTGTCGTACTGATACTCACTGTCTTGACCGAAGGAGTATCTTGAGTAGTCTAATTCAGCGACTGTTTCTGCAAAAGGAAAAATGTCGCAAGGATGATACATACCTTGTATAGGAGCAAGTGTCCGAGCATAGATGGGTTGGCATTGGCTAAATAGATATGGAAAGACTTTCCCTTGGGTCTGCCTAAACGTTTTTTAGATTTAAAATCAGAAAGTCGTCAAAAGTTAACTAGCACACACTCTTTCTCTAGCCATTGCAAAGCAGTCGATTCTTGCGTTGTTTTATACGTCACTTTCACAGAGATGAGATCGCCAGCTTTCAAGTTTTTGGGAAGGGGGATATGAAGAGCAGAGCCCATGACCGCATGATTTTCTCCCAACGAGTACTACAGAAGCTCCACTGAGTAACACGAATTGCGTAGCGTCCTACGTATACAATCCCGGGTCCATGTAGGCACTCACCCCAACGGTCTTTCCAGCTACCTCAGTACTCTCAATTATCAGATCAGCCGTATCCAAGCTGTGCGAAATGGATCGAATGTAAGCAGTAGCTCATCAAACATTTATAAGATCCTTTCGGATTATTCAAAGGCACCCACACGAGTTCCTTGACTGTGTCCTCGTTCAAGATCAGATCGTGCACAACGGAACCGATGACAACTTTCTGAACGAAATCGACACGCCATTCGAGAGATAAGTGTCGGGTCGTGATTTGAAGATAATTTGACTGAGTGGTTGGGTCAGGCATCTCGAAATCTAGATGGGTAGAGACTTATGAGCAGAGACTTGAGTAGAGGTACCTTTGATAGCGATAGCGGAAATCTGCTCCTGGATATGGTGGGATCCGAGTACTGAGTACTAACAGCCGATAATTTCAGCGATCGAGATAGCGAATTGGATTCGCACGGCAACGGCTAAACCAAGAAAAATACAATGTCATGTTACATTACAGTAAGTACAAAAAGTACAAAGACGATAGTTGTCATTACATGGCAAATGGGGCCATGAATCAAGAATATTTAAGAAAGGTTGATGTAATAGTGTCCTAAAATATTGATGGTCCTCGTGATTCTACTAATACTAGCGACTGATGATTGGTATATCGTCCGGACGAGAGAACGGAAAGACACTGGAGCGAAAGATTCTATCTGCGTAAACAGTGACTTCGCGCCCTTTGTCGCCACTGCTTTTTAAGAGTGTGCTATAAAGACATCAGTGTCCTGCTTATAACGAGGTACGTTGGTTCATGCAATACCTTGTGCATTCTGAGACTGGGATTATCGACGGAATGGTCCCATCCATCCATCGTGTCTAGCTTACGCTTCGCTGGCAGTCGAGTGGTAACTCCGATGGAGAATACATCCTGTTAATCATAATATAAGCCTTGTAAAGGATGCTACTCAAAGTATATCACGTACAGACATAAAGCGTGGTAAAGAGTCCGCTGAAGATGAATATGAGTCAATGATCAAATTAACGATGACCAACAAACCCACATGAACTAAAAGAATCGTTTTCGATATTTGGAAGTGCTCTGGGCTTGAGCAGAGGAGCACCTGGCGCTGGGATATAATGGAGACGTTCGTCTTGCTTTTGATCGAGCGAATGTAAATGGGAAAGTGATGGAATGCGGATAGTCGAAAGAGAGTGGCAAGCTTCCTGTGTCACAACGTTGTTTCCGGAGACCCACTGTCCACAGGGAGGGATTTTGGAGAAAGGTGAGCACAAGAGGGGAGATAGTCGCATGTCAAGGCGGATATGTGGGGAGAACTGGACATTTTCACTCTCCATCCTTAAAGAAAGACCACGCTTTGCACCAGACAGACAACTCTGGGGTGGGGCTCTCTCCGATGGATATCTGAGCAAATCTGCTGTAGGGTGCACCATGACGCTAGGGCTAGCCGAGTGGTCGATGATGGGCAGTGGCTTTACTGCTATGGCGGACCTTGGACAGTTCTTGGCCTTGTAAACGTCAATATGAAGCCCAACAAAGCGGGCGTAGCCTTTTGCATGGTGTGTGAGGCGCGACTTGCAACGCACTTCTCGAGCTATCTGACAGTAGCGTGCATTTGCGTGCCGGAGTCTCCTTATCATTAGATTAAGGGTGGCATTAGAAAGGGAGCTGGTGGACATTTTGAGAAAATACTGAGAGTGATGCGTGAAGTAGTGAACGTTATATGCTAGTCGTTGATGAATGAGTGTTTTGAGATGAGGATCCTGCCCCTTTGAATAGATGCACGCCTGCGTGACGGAAGTTGGTTGAGTAGGAGTAGATGGAGAACTGAAGGAAAGGAACAACAAGAAAATGAAAGACAAGCAAGATAGATAACTGGTCCACCCTATTTTGTGGGTCCGCACAGAACAGGGAAAGAACAAAAGAGCTGCCACTCGCTTCAGAGTTCTTTATAGTCTTGGTCAGACAGAGAAAGTGAGCGCCATCGGAGCAAAGACGCTAATAAGAGAGTGCACACATGATTGCAGCCTTCGTGATGGTATTTTAACGTTGTTCCAGTCGCCTACATAAAAGAAACAAAGGAACGGCGTAGCGACCGCGAGGAGTACTTACAAAAAGACCTTGTTATTCCGTGACGACAAGTGGACGCGGTAGCAGATCATGCCATAAGCACGTGACGTCCTGCAAAACGTGCCTTGCCGCCGGGACTAAAAAATACATCGTTTGTGTGATTCAAAACTCCCTCCCAACTGAAGTCCATGTCATCCCTAGCACATAAGATTGGTCAGTCTTTATATATGACAAACACACCCAGCTAGAAACAGATGTCTAAGATAATGTAGTAACAGGTTCTCTGTTATTCTGCCCGGATTGTGGGACGTTGTTGAGTCTGCCCAAGGATAGCGACCAAACGGTAATATGCGAACAATGCAGTCATGAAGAGCCCGCCAGCTGTAAGTTGTGATATAGTTACTTCGACAACAGAGGTTTATGAGGTGGGCTAGCCTACGAAAACACAGAGATCACTACGCGTTCACATCCCGAAGCTTTTCCATCCGCTCTAAGGCAAAAGAGAAAAACTCAGACAAAAATACACCAAGGAAAAGTGTTGCCCAAAGTGAGTCACGTCTGTGAATTTAGTAAAACACTTTATACACCCCCGCCGATATTCAGGTTTCGGAGAAATGCCCAGCATGTGGTCATCTGGAGGCTTATTACGAAGAGAAGCAGGTATGCACCACTGTGTTTTATGATTCGAATTGATTACTCCTTGTTCACTAGATGCGGAGTGCTGATGAAGGCTCTACGATTCTTTATACGGTACGTGTCAGCTATGGTCAGTTGACGTTGGTGTGACCTGGTTCATAGTGTGTTTCATGCAAGCACGGCTGGCGTGTCAACAACTAGACATATGAAGCAGGGACATGCCCTTAACCTCTTGAGCGCCACAAAAAATAAGAGAACACCCTTGGGCTTTCAAACGCATACTCCGATGGCGCAAAATAACGCTACGACACCAAATCCACCGAGAGTGCTGGCTATGAGTGCGACAATAGTTTCGCGTACTGGGAGGGTATCTTTTGGTAATCTATGAGGTGTTAGAAGTGTAGCTAGTGTAGTCAAAGGATGTATCTCACGTCGAAAAATAGAATGCGAGTGCAAACGTTGACGATAAGAAGGCAAGGGCAATGTATGGGAGAAATGGAGCAGCCACATAGGGCGAGAACGAAGGCAACGTTTTGTGTAGGGCCTTTTCGGTGCGTCAGGCGCGTGGTGTCATGCAAGGCAGACGGAGACTGACCTGGAATGTCTCGTACGTCGCCATAGCTTCAACTAATAAAGATGCAAGGGATGGTGTTGTCTTGTGATAGGTTTTGGCGTAACCTGCAATGCTTGTGTCTGCAAGCTTCCAACGTCAGCAAGTCGCCTGCGGCCACGCCTGAGCTGACGTGACCGGACAAACACGTGTCATCAAACCCATATCAACTCAATTCCGCTCGACATCTCCCTCTTTTACTCCACCACCGTCCTAACAACTGCGAAGTGTATATTTTACTTTCCTAAAAGTACGTATGCGCGAGACTTCCATACTGCTGCTTACTGACTAGTTTCTTTTATCTGCCTATCTTCATGCAAAAAAAATAAAGATGTCTGCAACGCAAAAAGTACAGCAACACCCTGCGTTCATTCAGGCGCAGAACAAGGCCAATTACTACATCAGTCAGCTTGACAAAGAGGTTCGTACTACGCCCTGACTTTTAGGACAGCCAAGGCTGACGTCGCTGCATCAAACCTAGCTCACGAAATATCCCGTGTTGACCACTCTCGAGCAGCGCACTCAGGTCCCAAAGACTTATGTTGTCCTTGGCTCCGTGATTCTTCTTACGCTGTTTCACATCGTCAATCCCCTGGCTGCTCCCGTTTCCAACCTTGTTGGGTGGGGTTTACCCGCCTATCTCTCTTTCAAGGCACTGGAGACTCCCGGTCACCAGGATGACGTTCAGTGGCTTACATATTGGGTAGTATTTGGCTTCTTCAACTTTGTGGAAAGTTTTGCCCTACGGATCGTTCTCTATTATCTTCCTTGGTACTTCGCCTTCAAGACAGTGTTCATTCTTTGGTTGCAACTGCCTACATTCCGCGTGAGTCTTTTCTAATCTGCAGTTACTCAGTTGATTAACAAGTGTGACGTCACATATAGGGCGCACAGACGACGTACTTGACCGTTCTTAAGCCTGTCTTGATGAATATTTCAAATTCGTCTCGTGCTGTTGCCCCTACTCAGACTGAGACTACCGTCACTGCTGAAGGTCTCCGTGAGCGTGTTGCCACCGCTAATGCCGAGTAATTCTGCCTTAATACTACGTTTACCTTCACGTTATGTCGTATTTCTTGTTGTATGCGATTTGAACACGATTATAGAACCTTCTCTTATCCGGTATTTAGGAGTCGCCTTTTAGTTGGCACTTCTGTTCACGTCTCATCACGTCACTTTCTACGTACTTCTACCTGGTATATTAAATGAGATTTCAGCTTGTTCCGAGTTTGAATATTGAAGTATCCGGGTCATTGCCTCTCTTTCTAGTAAGAGATGATATCGTGTTAATTTTGTGTGACACGATGAATTTTCGTGAGATGATAGTTCGGTTCTGTTTTGCGTTGAGATGCATTACGCCAGGCACCTCCTTCATTGAGTTTTCCCCATGATTGTCCTTGGGGACTATAATAACGATGCCTTGAGCTTTTTGACAGTTCACCAGTTATGTCAAGAAAGTTCGGGAAAGGTGTGCCCCCTGTAGATCTATCTAATGACTCAGACTATTAATTTATGTGCAAGGCCTTTTACATAAATTATAATCATGCTGTTCGCTGGAAATTTCACTGCACAAACAACCAACGCACAGCCGTTGGTGTACAATATGAATCCTATCGCAACAATGTTGACCTTTATCAGCCAATCTTAAGTATTGCAGTAGGGATGTGTGTCAAATGGGTTTTCTTATCTTCAATCCTGCATAAGCTCAGTGAAGTTCAAGAAGAGGGCAAGGGCTTCTTCCAAACCATTGGTTCCTGAAGAGATCCTTGAAAATAGGGTTTGAGAATGGTTTTTGCTTGTTATAGGTTCTTCCCTGATACCCATAAGTTGTAATACAATGGAAAAAAAATAGTTCACACTTTGATATCAAGGTCCCCATCAGTAAATGTGCATGTATCAATCAACCACTGAACAGCAAGTTTGATTTCTCCAGGAGACATATCCCCTGGGATACCATATGCACCATTGATCATGAGTCTGACTTTGGCTACAACCTCTCCCCGTATTTGGGGCCCAGCAGACCATACCTAAAAATTCAAGCAAGAGTTAAAACCAAATCATGGCAATGAAAGAATACACTCACATAATCCATCATGAAGATTTTCAACGCTTCATTTTCTTCAACCTCCCTTAATTTGGATTCAAAGCTGTTGCTAATCTTGGAGCTTTCAGTGATTATTTGCCATGAGATATCAGAGTGTATATTAGAAGCAGGGAATCCTTCATTTGTTGAGATATGAAAACACATTTGAGTATGGGCTTCTATAGCTAGCTGTGCTAAAGAAGGAGGGAAAAGAGCTAGTGTAGGTTTGGGCTTCCTAGTCATAGCAGAAGATGAAGATACACTAGCTATTGCTGTGCTTGATGTGCGACTGGAAGGTTGAATAGAAGGAGCTGCAGATGGCAAACAAGATGGTGTGCTAGTGCTTTCACCAATATTACCAGCTTGTTGTGTGTCCTATATACATATGTAAAGATGTTAACTTTTATTGAGAGTAGATAGATATACTCACTTTTCTGCCTTGCTTCTGGTAATGATTGCCATCCTTGTAAGGACCATTTATTATTTTCTCTATGTCTTGGTTTTCGAACGCTTTCCCCGTTACACCTCTGGCTCTAGGGTTAGAGGTATCATTTGCTATTCTACTTCTCATAGCCCTCACAGGCTTTCTCAATCATCGTTACCACTTTATATCGCAGATCAGAGACTGGGTATCACTCCCAGCCAGCCAGCAAAATGGGTAAGGGCTGGTAGTAGGCATCTCGCCAACCAGCTCCAAGCCCCATTAAGGCCTGGATATACTAATCAATGCTTTGATCCGGTGTCATGCACCAAAGTTGATTGGTAGCATGGACAGGTGTCAATAATGAAGCAAATATTCAAAAAGACTCGCCTTTGCGCCACACAGGCACAGTGCCACGTGGAATAGTAATTAATATTGCCCTTTTTGAACTTGTGGCTGATCAGCACCACCTCTATTAGGCAATCCAGTCACGCTCACCTTTGCTTTTCCATCCGGTACTTTCCGCATTTCGGCATTTCGGCAAATTTTCGCGTCGCCACTGGCTACACATTGCATTGCGCCCTCGCTTTTGTCGTTTCCCTTACTCCCCTTCCTTTGCCTAGCCCCACCATGGGCCCCTTCCTCTCCTTTTTATTCTCACCCGACGGTCGTTTCTGGGTCCCCATTTTAGTTCACCTCCTCGTCACCTCCACCCTCCTCCTCCTCATCTTCTTTGCTCCCCCACCATTTCTGATGTCACCACTTCCTATCCGCTTCCGTCGCCGATCCGTTGACCACCACGTGCCACTGCTGATATCAGCAAAGCCCCGGCGGCCGGTCCAAATAGGGCAACAGGTCCATCTTCATGACGTCGATCTGCCATCATATACTATCAAAACATCGGTCGCTCGTCTTGCCTGGTTGGAGCGTGGGTGGGTAATTTTTGAGCTGGAGAAGGTTCATCCCCTTGCGTCGCCCATGTTCATCGCTGTCCCATTCACTTGGGTACACTTATCTTTTGTCCATCGTCTTCGCTACAGCTACACCTACCACACGCTGCCTGGGACTCACTTGTTCCAAATTGGAACTACTCCTCTCCCTCCCTCGTTTGATCAGGTGGTCCAACACAACCAGTCCATTGGTAAGGCCATGGAACTGTCGGATTTGGACTAGGTGGTGGACCGGTGGCTCCAGTTTCTTTTTTTTCAGCAGAACATTCATTTACAGTGCAATTATTTTTGATTTTTGAATCATTTTTATGGACACATATTTTTTTAGAATGCCTGACTGACAATAAAGGAACTGTGTTGATACTGATAGTGTTTTTCCTTGCCCTTTTTTTACTGCATCTTCCCATGACATCATGATTTTCCTGCTCTCTTTTTGCTATTGGACTTTACTTTATGGCTGTACAAACCTGTGACATTACTCACAGCATTTATTGTTCTATCCCTTTCTTTTCCTTTTTTTGACAATCTTATCCTGTACTACCTACGCAGGATTTGTCAGCGTACATTCCTTCCTTCATATTCTTTCTCATTCTTTTTGCACAGCTATACTGTGCATAGCCTACTTCTCTTTTACTATATAAACCCCTGTATTTTACCTTGTAAAAACAACAAGAAATCCAATCCAGACTTCTTCTCTACTCTCAAGTTCACTACTCTACTACTTGTGATCCAGAGTGGTCACAACACTTCCCACTTCTACCACTGTTAACTGCTGTCATCGTCACTCGTCACTTTTTGAAAGTGATTGTCATCCCCTTCGATTAGAGTCCTTCTGAGCACTACAGTTTGTGCGTCAGGAGCCTGCTATCACTGGGAACCTCGTCACCTCATCATCCTCGTTGTTCTCAAACCTACCTTGTGCTACGATTAGCAAGGTAGTGCTCATCTATACTCGTCACTAAGCCCCTATCTTCTATAAATTCAACTATCCCTCCTCCTCAAAACCCACACTCATACACCTCTGGGTTTTACTTTGAAGGATCTTTATACGTACCACCCCACGAACAACCAGACCACTCCACTGTTCTAGGAGGCAAAGCCCATAAACAAGTTCCGTGGAATCTGGGAGGATTGTGTGTTAGTTTGTTTTGTGTGTGGTTTTCTAACAACAGTTCTCATCATCGACAATTGGAGCCCACCGCGAGGGGTGGTTTCCTTCAAGCTAAATACCAACCATTTCATCACCATCACTGTCTAATTCATCATCTACACCTTCTATCTCACCCACCGCTTTATCTGTCCCATCCCTCTCTTCCAGTAACTCAATTTCTGTACCAGCTCCTACTCAGCAAGCTTCGCGTTTACCCCCTATATTTTTCACTATGAATCAACCTACTACTCTCTCAGTCATCACTATGCCAATTCCTGGCACTCGTTATGCTCCTAAGAAGTTCAAGGAAGACTATACTCGTGTCAGGGATTTTGTTCTCCACTATGAGCGTATCTGTCATGCAAACAATGTCACTGCTGACGATGAAAAATGCTCAAGCATTCTCCAATACTGCTCCACATATGTTCGCGAAATTATTGAAGGAATGAAGCACTTCATTACGCCCTCATGGAACAGTCTCAAAGACGAAATTCTCCAGTACTTTGATGCTGCAAAAGCAGAGGCCAAATTTAAAGAGCATCATCTTAAACAGCTGGTCGATGCTTCGCACAAGAAGAAAATGGGCTCTCTGGACGATTTCAAGAGCTACATGAGGAAGTATGTTTGTGTTGGAGGATGGCTTCTTGCCAAATCCAAAATCACTCAGGACATATTCAATCGCTTCTTCTGGAAAGGACTACCCAAAACCCTTCGTCATTGCGTTGAAAATAGACTTCTACAGAGAGATCCTACCCTTGATCTCTCCCAGCCTTTTGTCTTTGATGATGTTGTCAAGGCTGTAGAGCATGTCCTTCGCAGAGATCGCTTTGATGATGAAGATTTTGACTCTGATAATTCGGATTCAGACTCGGATTCAGAGAACTCTTCCAGTTCTTCGGACGATTCTTCTGACTCTGACAAAGAGGAAGAACCACCTCGTTATATCAGGAAAACCACCAAGCAGAAGAAAGAGAAAAAGCGCACCTCTGAGACAGAGAAAGAGAGAAAGTTGTTGAGTCCTTCCAAGTCGAAGAAAACCCTTCACTCTTTAGACGAAGAAGAGCACACTGCTGTCAAACAGGATGAAGTAGAAACCCTTATCAAGAAGTTGGGTTCTATGACAATTGAAGATCCTAACTATCCTCTGCTCTACTATCGTGCTATCAAGCTTGACACTGATGCTCGACTTATACTTCGCCCTCCCACTTTCATGAACCAGTCAGCCAGACCATCTCGATCCTCTCAAGGAAGCAGCAACTTACCCACTCAGCCTACTGCTCCACCCACTGCCACTCTGCCTACAGCACCTCGTGTTCCCTTCCTTTGCTATGGATGCGGAAAAACTGGTCATGGAGTCAATGAATGTGCAGATATGCTTGACTTACTGTCAAAGGGAATTGTCAAGAAGGATGACACTGGCCGCTTTGTCATGTCTGATGGGTCTAGGATCATGCGATCAAGAGAGGAACCTATAGCAACTGCTGTACATCGCACTATCCCCAAGTCTAACCTCCTCACTACGACTTCTTTTATGTCCATTGCTGAAGTAGCTGACTCTGATTCTGATTCAGATGAAGAGCCTGTCTATGCAGTGGATCGTCCAGACAGAGTGTCTAAGGAGAAGCGCAAGCAAGTCTTTGATGGTGTCTACATTCCTCCTAAACCAGATTGGGCCAAAGCTGTAAAAGGAAAGAAGAAAGAAGAAGAGAAGCCTGCCGTTCCAACCATAGCACCTGCCCCGTCAAAGCCACACATCTTTGATATTGCACAGCCTATCTTTGATCCCACTAATGACGATGTAATCATGGAAGATGCTTCCCAAAACACCAAGAAGAATCCCCCTGCCGATAAACAGAAGAAACAGCTCAAGACTTCATCTACTCTTTCACAGAATCTTGACTCCAAAGCCATCATTGATCAAATTCTCAGCACCCCTATCCCACTATCTATTGGTAATGTCATTGGTCTATCAAAAGAAGTTTCCCAGAATCTCCAAGAAATGATGAAACCCAAGCGCGTTAATTTTGGACTAGACAACAACCCCCAAAGCTTGACAGCTGAATCACTTCTTGCCATCACTCATGCCGACCTCATTCGTGTCCCTGTTACCTCTAATGGCGAAACTATTTCAGCAATTGTTGATTCAGGGTCTGCTCTCAATATAGTCAGTCGCACTATTTGGGAAAATCTCATTCGCCTTCCCATGGATACTAGTCTTCGACCTGTAGTCAAAGATGCCAATGGAGGATTTGGTAGACTTGATGGTCTAGTCAACAATGTGGCTTTATACTGCGGAGAAGTCAAAACTTATGCCAATATCTTTGTTGGGAAAGACACTGGATACAATCTACTTCTTGGACGACTATGGACGCATGGGAACTATGTCAGCATTGAAGAGAGACTTAATGGCACTTATCTCGTATTCAGAAAGGATGGCAAAATCAAAAACCCTGCTCTGGAAGTCAAGGTATCATCAGATTATCGTCCTATTCACTATGTCAAACCAGTATCTGGAGTATCCGATACAGTATCCAGCTTCTTAGTCACGGACTATGACTTCAATGGAGAAGATCTAGATGGAAATACCGATGAATCGGAAACTGCTGCTGAAAGTGTCACCCCAGAAGAAGAAACTGTGCCTGTTCCAAATAATTTCCCAATTGGTTCAATCGAAAATTCTAGTACTCTCAGAGCACTGGAAGACCTGGAGACTCGTCTAGAAGAAACTATTGAAGCCTCCATCCCTATCCCCAATGCCAGTACCTTTGAAACATTCTCTGACTATATTCGCTCAATCAGGGAAGATGAAAGGTCTGCTATTTTTGGTCTACTGAACAACCTTCAATATCGTCACAACATGAGCTCACTCTCAATAACTTCAGACTATGTCATGAGAGGACACCATGGCTTCGATGAAAACCACAACCTTTATGCGGATTATGTCCTACTCCATGCTCATTTGCGATTTGACCAGAATCATGGACCTGGAAGAGCACAATCTATTATCAGTCGCTCAGGAACTGCACATATTCGCTTCTTTCCTCAAACAG